TAGATGTCAAACTTTGTTAGGTTTAGAATGGGTATGAAAAACTGGTGAAATTATAAAGAATAGGCAGGGAATGAATGAATTTAAAAGCCATGGTAAACAGCTATATTTAAGATTATTAATATCACTTTCAGAAATGTAAGATACACCAGGAAAGAATCAAAGCTTTAATAGCATAGCACTTTATGTCTCAAAGCCTGAACATTAAATTTTTTTTTATTTGTGCTTAATCAAATTACATAGTACATTTTGGCAGTACTCAAAAAATAATGGTAAGTTATAACATTCCAGGGCCAGAAATGGGCCCTTTTGAAAGTTCAAAGCTTTTCTTGGTTCCTTGAAATCAAGGTTTATGTAGGACATATTTTAGTGTGGCTTACATTCCATCGTATCTGCAGCAAAAGTGCAGGTGAAATAAAACTGCTAATAGTACTTAGGGGAATTTGAGTTAGCACAGAAATGTTGAATGTTCACATTACCATACTTAGATTAAATAGCTACCACAGGCAGTTGCCTGTCAGAACTCTTCATTTGCTTTCTTGGTAATTCACTTTAACAGATGAGTGGTTTCATTATTACAGTGCATTTTTGCTTATGAGTGCTGAAAATATAACGGAGGTAGATTTCTACAATTATTCCTAAGTAACCCTACACTCCTAATGATTTCTTCTACTTCAAGGATTTTGTTTTGTGCTGTTTTTTACCAAAAAAAGAAAGAAAGAGCACTAAGCTTAACCCTTTGGGTAATATGTAGAACAATTTCTGTAATTTGATTACATTTGCATAACAGAACCCTATCAAAAGGGTCTGTACCAAACCTCTTACCTATTCTACCTTGACACAACTCAGGGATGCTCTAGAGACGCTTGTGTTTTGCAAAAATAAAATGGAAATTTTTAGTGCTTGCTACACTTGAAATAAGGATGGGAAATATTTTAATTGATACATAAAAGAAAATATGTTCAAGTAGAATCAAATAAAAATAGGCAATAGCTTTCTTAGGCCTAAAACTGTAAAATAATAGTAAGTGATAGGAGAAGGTCTGTTTTATGTCAGTATGACAATTATACCCAGAAATTTTAGAGCCATTCCTATTTGGACTGCAAACTTATGTATTTTATTTCAAGTTCCATAGATCTTAAAACGAATAGTTACCTTCTGATTTTGATAATTATCTGGATGTTACTTTTATACTGTAAGAGTTAAAAGAGCCACTAGAGAAATATTCTTTTTAGGAGGCTAGAGGTGTAGCTCGGTGGTAGAGTACAAGGTTACCATGCATGAGGCCCTAGGTCCAATCATCAGCACCCCAAAACACCTTTCATTTTTGGTGGAGTGGGGAGGATGATCCCAAAAGTGTAGTGTAAAAGAGCGGGCATGGTGTGCACACCTGGAATCCAGCCACTTGGGAGGTTGAGGCAGGAAGATCATGAGTTCTGAGTTCAAGGGCAACCTGAGCAACATTGTAAGGCCTTATCTCAAAATAAAAAATTAAAAAAAATTAGTGATGAGCCAAGAATTTCAAAGAAAAGGGGTTTTTTTGTATATTAATACCTAGGCATTCAGAGAGTTAGAAATCAAAATGAATACATCTCTTTATTCAGAATGTTATTGTATACGGCAGCTATGAATTTGTTTAAATGAAAGATGCTTTTATGTGCACAAAAGTGCTTTTCTTCCTAGTCTTAAATTACTATTAATTAAGTACTATGTAATATAATAGATAATTATAGTGTTTTAATATGGATGCCAGTGGATTTGCTAGTCTTTCTAAATGGCTATTGTGGGCTAATATTCTTCAGGGGATCATTCATATAGCCATTGTGGTTCTAAAAATATCTCTAAATACCATTGGGACAGCCTTTTTTGAAACATGGCTATTATAAAAACGCTCTTATTTGAAGTGCATCATTTTGATTATAGTTTTTTTGTTCATATCACTCAATTACTTCAGCAAGAAAAAAATGCCAAAGCTGAAAAAAGAATAAACCAAACCTCTTTTTATATATATAGAAATTTTTCAGAACAATATGGAAGTTAGAAAGAAAAATATTTGAGTTAGGAATATAGGGAATCTTCTATTCATTAAGATTTTTAATCATTCTGTTCATTAGAATATTACCTGGAGATGTGTTTATGTAGCCTCATTGTTTTTATTTTAATTAATATTTCTATGGCAGAGAGATAATTAGGTAAATGCTGTTGGATATTAAATGTGGTAGTAGTTTGGGGGAAAATAAGCACTTCAGGGTCAAAGCCCTTAACAAAATATTGTGATATGTAAATTGATTAATTGAATAGAATGCCAGATGGGTTTGCCACTGTCCAACAAGACTCTCATAGCCACTGAGTTCATTATTAAGGTTGTTAGCTACTAATGGAGTAAATCTTGATTAGAGAATAGTCCCAACCTCAATAAATATAGCTAAGTGTAAAAACATTCCAGAATCTGAACCTATAAATGCCAAACGTAAATTCTCATCATCATCACTCAGGGGTTTCTGTGCATGTGTGATTCCTACCTATAAGAGCACACTCAAGATTCTAGGCTATTCTTTTGTGCTTGTTGCCTATATCTAACATTGCACGCAAAAAGGCTCGGTTTCATTTCTAATCAGACCAGAGGAGTTGAGAATTTTAATCAACCACATTTAGCACAGCAAAATTTTGCCATTTATGGGAGCATTACTATTAAATAACATCCCAAAATGATACCTTTAAAGTTGTATTTCCAAAATATCCCAGGGTTTCAGACACTATGTAAATAGTTGATTTCAACTATTTAAAAAACTATAATAAAAATAACTATCCCAAATTTCTCATTATGATTACCAGTCATTAGTTTGTGCTACCAGGTTAACTAGTTTGAGGCAGATCTAGACTATAGCTTCTCCTGACTTTTTGTGCATATATTTTAAAGTTTTATGCACAGAGACCCTAGCAGAGGCCTGCTAGCTCCTCTATAAATGGAGGCTGTTCATTGTCTGATCACCACCACAGCTTTCTTGTATAGGGTTAATTTAGGCCCCTCCTCCCACTGCAAACCCCAGACACACCTGCCTGGAGACTTGCTTTAGGTCAGTGATTGCTAGCATCTTGCAGTGAGATGCAACATTGCAAGTTTAGGCTTATTTTAGTGACCATTTGTCAAATTTATTATTTTGATAAGAAATACTGTTACTTATCATAAATATCTTTGGTGAAGATCTCATACTCTTCATTAAAAATTCTGGTTCATTTTAATTAATATCATCTTGCAATTTAAAAAAAAGTTTTGATTTTTGACATTACCCTTTGCAACCATTTACTACTAATGTGGATTAGAATTACTTTAATGATCTGTAAGCAAACAACCCATAAAAATAAATTAACCCATGCAGCTGATATAGCTGATACAGGCATCACCACAATTTCTTTTTTTTTTTTTTTAAGATACTGGAGATTGAACCCAGGGCCTCACACATCCTGGGCAAGCACTCTACCACCAAGCTACATCCCAGTTCTTTTAAAATTCTATTTTGAGACAGGGTCTCACTAAATTGCTGAAGCTGGCCTGAAAGATGCAATCCTGCCTCAGCCTCCTGAGTAACTGGGATTACAGGCATCCACCACTGTGCCCAGCCACAACTTCTTATGTGTGAATTTTGTATTTGTAAATATGGCCTTGATTAACTTTTAGAGTAAATGCAACTAGTTGTTCCTAAGAATTCCAAAATTTTTCTTTCATCCAATGTTCAACTTATATTTGTATATCTCTGTACTAGGTGATTATTTATACCTACACATTTACAAAGTGTAGATCTTGGCAAGCATGAATATTATGGAGTGTATGACTCAGCTCAGGCTGCTGTAACAAAATACCATGGACTGGTCGCTTATTTCTTATGGCTTTGGAGGCTGGGAATGGTTAAGATCAAGGTGCTAGCAGGAAGTCAGGACTCTACAGGGACACTAATTCCATTCATGAGGGATTCACCCTTAGAACCTTATCTAATCCTAATTACCTTCCAAAGGGTCCTCCTCTTACTACTACCACATTATAGACTGAGGTTTTGATTTATGAATAAGGGGACATAAACATTCAGTCCATCATAGTATAAAACCTTATTACCAGTATAACTTACTACTATTTTATGCAATTAAAAAATTGATGGCCAAAATGTAAAAATGAAAGTTAAATCACATAAAAAAAATGAATTCTAAGTTAAAGAGCCTAGACAAGGGCCATTGTGTCAAAATCACTACTTTACATTCTACATATAATCTTTTTCATCATTTGGGAAATCATGTTGGAGGATAGAGTCTGCCTGTTTAGCAGCTTCATATTACATCTCAAGAATAGGCAAGGCAAAGAAGAGATTAAAAAATGGATCCTCTTTTTCTTAATAGAAAAAGGAATTAGGAAGCCATGTGCTATGCTATGCTGTGCCTGCTCTCCAATTTTATGTGGACTCAGCTCAGTCTCTCTTCATGACAGTAATAAAATCACATCTTTCCCCCAACTTCTTGAGATAGATACATTTGAGAGATGAAAGTGAGTGGCCTTGAACCTCATATGTGTCTTCTGAGTTTTATTATCCATTTTTCATGCCCTCTATGTAAATAAATGGCTTTGGAAAGCCTTAATTTATTACAACATGAAGGCTTTGTTCCCTGTAGGACTGGAGTATATACTTTGGAAGTCTTACAAAATTTATTTTTTAACACATTATTTATGCATTGGTTTTTCCAAACATCTTTACCCACAAATATAACTGATGTTTGGGGGAGGGGGAAGGTGAGAGTTGTATGTTTAGAGAGCCTTGCAAGAAAACATATCCCACTGCTTGAGGCATTCTATGTAAAGAATTTCTCAAATCCTAACTTTAATACATAATGTGTTTTGTGGCCTTCCCACTGCCGCCATCATTTATCAGATTTCTGCCTCATACACTATAAGAGGCTGGATGCACAGCTGCCCTTCTGGTTGCCTCTTTGCTTACCTCATATTTGTTTTTTTGCAGAGACCCTCCTCGATGACTTCCTTCTCACGTACACCGTCTTCATGACAACTGATGACCTGTGCCAGGCGCTGTTAAGGCAATATCCTTCATTAACTTCAGGATGCTGCATGGGTTTCCTCTCAGACAGATGTCTCACATTAGGAATTAACTGCCTTTTTTAATTTACTCACCCTCACGGTAGAGTGCAGACATGTTAAATATTAATGTCAAGATGTCCAAGGTAAAAGATGGAATGAGACAGAATTGACAGGGACAGATGAAAATGCAGAGCTGCTATTTTCTACCACCTCAGTAAATTATACTGCTTATATTATGTTTGCTTTAAATCTGCTTCTCACCATTGCTTAGAAATCTGGAGCTAAAATAGGCCTTGGAATCAAGAGATTGAGTGGACTGGTAGTATCACACAGAAAGTGGCCTTAGAGGGGACTTGGTCCATCAGAGTCAGACCACTTGTTTGGAAAATGAATGCACTTGTGTGATGTTGTGTTCCTAGGCAAGTATCCCTGGGGACACAGATCATTCCCCTATAAGGAAGTCTGAACTTGCCCCTGGAATCAACTGTCACCGGCTCAGAGCTTTGTCACTGTGTGCTGTCTTAGAACGATAGAATGATTAGAAGGCTAATAGCCTTATAATTTTACCCACTAACTAGAAAGGATGCTACAGGGAAGCTGAAGGCCATAGGGCAAAGCCACATAACTTCTCCAGGCTCCAGAGCTTCTTGCTTCAAAATGCTAAATGAAGCTGCTTCCAAAGCATTTAAGTTTTTAATAAATTAATTAGATTTAATTAATACTTTTTATTCTTAGAATTAAATTAATTAAAGACTTTAAGCATTTAATAAAAACCTTTACGTTTTCATTAAATCAAAGTGGGGATTCTACTCCAACCTGCTTAAAAACAAAAAATCAGGAAAATAGTATACTTTTTGTACATGCCAAAGTTTTATTAAGACCCAATGATAATGGTCACCTAATATTTTTTCCTATTAATTAATTATTACGTGTCTCCAAACTTTACAACATTTTCTTGCCTTAAAGAATACTTTAAAACTCTACAAAGTACATAATAATAAAAGTAATGTCTTCTTAAAAATATATACAAGTTAGAAATGGTTATTACTTTTTAGTGCTTTACTGTGTCCTCTGACTAAGCAAAGGTATAGGAATTTTGACACTTTCTAGAATTGCTTCATAATTCAAAATTTCTGATCCTAAAACATAATTAGTTTTTAATTTGGAAAGTTTCAATATGTACAGACTTATTCCATATTTTCCAAGTGGAGCATTACTAATAAATATAACAATAATTATGAAGTTTTAAATTTCTCCATTGGACATATTTAGAAAAAATTTGTGAATTAATCTCATTTACATTTTAATACATGTTTCTAAAACTTATCTATTACTTATCTATTAAGTAATATAAATTATACATTTATAGTGAATTAGATGCCTTCAAACTATTACCTTTAACTATGATCCTAATATTTTTATTATCATTTAATAATTTTGTTTCTGGAGGATATTACTAAGCAATTTCTTAAAGTTTCCTTGGCTATAAAAATGTTTTGAGTCTTTGAGAAAATTTAGTTCAAATTCTTAGTAACCTTTTTATAGATTATCAAACCTTATAAAATCTAAAACATTTTAAGCCAGGAGTCTTTCTAAATGATTATTTCTGTATTTTTACACACAACCTTCTTTGACATCTCACAACCAAAAAAACAAAACAAAAAAAAAATATAGCATCTTATTAAAGTGAGATGTCTTTGTGCATCTTAGTGAATCTCACTTTCATATCCTACTACCACCAACTTCTAAAGAGCAGTCCAAATTTTGGGAGGGGTATGTTTTTCCCCTGTGATTCTTAAACATTATTTATAGATTAGAGCCATTTGTGCTGGGTTTGAATATTTTAGGTGAGTATTTTTATTGTAATAGGATTAGTAGCTTTCAGCTTTTATCATCATAAAGCACAGTAAGCTATACCTCTGGGCCAGTTAATATTCATGCATTACACAGAAGTCGTAACTCTCTCTCAGTGCCTTTGTGCTAACCCCCACCCCAAATGAATTTATAAATCAGTATAATTTAGCATGGACAAAAGGTAAAAGAGTCTATGTACCTTAATATAGGAAAGGCAAATAACATAAATGCAAATTTAATCAGTAGATATTTTAAAAATATATATCTTTCAGGGAGGAAAGAACAAAGTGAAACAAATAAATGTTAATAACTACAAATAGAGAAGAATGTTTGAAGTTCAGCCCCTAAAACTGCTTTATTCTGCTGGTCTGTAATTGTAGAATATATGCATATATGCAATTTGAATTAAAAGCTCATATTTTTTCTTTAGGTCAGTTATATGTGCTGACCTAAAGAAAAAAATAAGTTGTTGGTATTTTTTAATTTTCCAGGTTATTTTTTTCTTTATATGAGTTAAGATGTTACTTTCACAGGAAAAGAAGAAAAGGATATTTGTATAAATAGAAATGATGTAGGATAAATCTTCACACTTTGGTTTTCAAGAGAAGAACTAAAAGAAACAAACACTTGAACAGATTTTTGTGTGCTTGACTGATTCTATTTCACTGGTGGAAATTAAAGATGACCATAGGATTCTTGAATAATGGGACTGCATTATGTTTAAAAATATTTGCAAAGTCTGATTAGAAATTTTGCATTTTTAATTTTTTTTTTTTTAAATGTTTGGGAACAAACTGAGGGCCTTGTGCATGCTAGAGGACACTCTACCAATGAGCTCCATCCTCAGCCCTCTATTTTGGAATTATTTATCAGCATTAAAAAATACATAATCCTGGGCTGGGGCTGTAGCTCAGTGGCAGAGTGCTTGCCTAGCATGTGTGAGGCACTGGGTTGGATCCTTAGCGCCACATAAGAGTAAACCAAGACATCTGGTCCATCTACAACTACAGAAAAAATTAAACATATGTAAAATCCTGTTGACAACCCCAAGCTTACTTGTGTTTGGTTTCAGTATTTCCTAATCCCAGTTAACTTTTTGGTGTGTACGCAATGTCCAGAAGTGATGCTTTTGGAGGCAAAAAGAGTTGATCAGTTTAGAAAATTCCAAGCTGCTGTCTCATTCCTAATCATTTAAGCAATTTACTTTTGATTTGTTTTCTTTCTCCCTCTCCCCTTCCCCTTCCTTCCTTCCTCTTTTTCTTTTTTTCTTTCTTTCCTTCCTTCCAATAATGGGGATTGAACCCAAGAGTGCTTTACCACTGAGCTATGTTCCTGCCTCTTTTTATTTTTATTTTGAGACATTGTCCCACTAAATTGCTGAGGCTGATCTCAGTCTTGCAATCCTGGTGCATCAGCCTCCCAAGTCTGTTAGATTACAGGCCCACATCACCATGCCTGGCCGATGTTGTTTGTATATAATTTTAACAGCAAAGTTAATACATGGTCATTATATACAAATTAGGAAATGGTAATAAGTAAAATAATTCATGTACTCTGAAATTTTGTTACATTGAGAAGCCACTGTTAACTATTTTGTATATATCCTTCCGAATAATGAAATTATTTATATTAGCATTGTTAACAGAAATGGATCATCCTAACATATGCTTTTCATATTTTCTTTTCTGGTAAACAACACATTGTAAGTTCTCCATGTCGTATGTAAACTACTAGACCATCATCTTTATGGCTGCAGAATATTCCATTGAATGGATATTATAATAACCTCACTAAATGTTCTCAAATGATGCAGCATTTAGGTTCTTTCCTATATTATTTTTAAAATTTTCTTTTAATGAAAATGAAAATTAGCAGTCCTTTTACCTAGGATTGGACATTTGAATTATACCACAAATTGTGCTTCAGAAATATGTGTTCATATGAAACTACTTTAGGAATAATTGGTTTTACAGAATGCAAAATTATGAGTATCGAAGAATATCTGTCTTAATTCTGATTTAACTTTTATTAAAATAGTATTTGCCTATGTAGTGAGGCCAAGTCTCCTCTAGAAGCCACCCTTGAAATCAATGGCCACATCTCTGAATGAACACTAATCTCACCGCTGCCTGTGGGACTGTATCAGCAGCTGCTAGTATGATAGTCCAGTCCTCTCCTTCAGGCCTCTCATCCAGGATACATCATTTTCTGGGTTGGCTTTTGTTCTTCTCAGTGCCCTCCTTTTACTTTTACTTTTTCTTCCTGCATTTTTATGTACTTGTAGATTCTTAGGGAAATGTGTTTTAACCTATTTTGCAAAGACAAGAATAATCAAATCTCTCACACACCTGTAATCCCAGTGGCTTGAGAGGCTGAGGCAGGAGGATTGCAAGTGCAAGGCCAGCCTCAGCAAAAGCAAGGCACTAAGCAACCCAGTGAGACCCTGTCTCTAAGTAAAATATAAAATAGGCCTGGGGATGTGGCTCAGAAGTCGAGTGCCCCTGAGTTCAATCCCTCGCACCCCCGCTTCAAAAAAAAAAAAGAATATGGGAATCTCTTTATATTTTTTTATTTCAACAACATAATATTCTTTCTTAACCATTGCACCTATTCTGCTAAGAAGTATCAAGGCAAAGAGGAAAACTCAGATGTTCCTTGTCGGAAACGTAAAGTCTTGCATCTTGTTTCCCAATGGATTGCTCTGTACAAAGACTGGCTTCATGAAGATGAACATTCAAAAATGTTTTTAAAGGTAATCCAACACTTCCAGTTATTCTTTGATGCCAAATGATAGATTTTATTTACACATTTCAAGTCTCATATGTGGGACTGGGGTTGTAGCTCAGCGGTAGAGCGCTCGCCTAGCACATGCAAGGTCTTGGGTTCGATCCTCAGCACCATGTAAAAATAAATAAATAAAATAAAGGTATTGTGTCCAACTAAAACTAAAAAATAAATTTTTTTTAAAAAGTCTCATCCAACTTTTTTTGATAGTCAAGTTGTGATTCAGAGAAAATATAAATTCATTTTGATTTCTGAGGCCTGCTATAAGTAGAAACTTGATTTTTAAATATTTTATTATGAAAAAATAGTGAAGACAAATTTTATATTCACTAATTTAAGATAATATATGTAATATATATAAGATAATATGTAAGTCATGAGAACCTTACAAATGAAATTAAAAAGTCAAATAATATATACTTCAAAATTTGAAACTATTTAGTAAGTTGAGATTTATTATAAGTTTGAACTAACAAGTCTTATATCTGTATATAATATTTGGATAAGACATTGCTTATCATCTTAAAATTATATTGACAAAGTATATAACTTTTTCAGAACATGGCATATTTTAAGAATTTTAAGAAGTAATAATTTTTGAAATAGATACTAATCTAGATGTACATTTCAAAAAAAATTGAATTGGATAAACTGATTTATCCAATTTAGGCTGCAGTATCTTTTCAGCACGAACAATTCTCTGGAGCTGATTAATAGACAGATGGATTCCTTTAGACACCAAAACCATATTAGGTATACAGATTTACATAGAGAGGAGATAGAATACAGTTCTACCTAGGGAGAATTCTGTTAGAACAGGCAAGCACCTAAACTGATTCTGCATTTCATGAAGGGAATGAGTTTGAATTTAACATTTGGATGTCATTTAGACATCCAGTGAAAAACTGATCTGCTTATCTACATTCATGTTATTTTCAAAACAGCTTATTAGTTTCACTGATATTTTTTCCTCCCAAATGATTATGTACATGCACCTTATTTTTTTAAATGTAGACTAGGCATGGAAATCTCTAGTAACAAACCAGGGATCTCTGTTTCTAGCATTTCCTACACATAGTCCCTAAAAGCAGCTGTTGAGCAGTTAGAATTAAACCCCTGCATTGTCCTGATTCCACTTTGGGCCAGGTACTCATGGAGCGAGTCATTTTCTTTCTTTTTTGGCTTTACTGGGGATAGAACTCAGGGCCTTGCACTTGCCAAACACACACTCTGAGCTGTGCCACTCATTTCAGCTGCCATTTGTCTTTTCCCTCCAGACCATTTACAGGAATGTTCTGGATGATGTCTATGAATATCCAATACTTGAAAAGGAATTGAAAGAATTTCAAAAAATACTTGGAATGCATCGTCGTCAGTAAGTAATTTTTCTTCTGGTAGTTAATGAACACAGCAAATGTAATAGAATTTGAAATGTCTTTTACATAAAGTTGATCTTTAACATTTGACACTGGGATTCATCTTGATTTCTTAGCTTTACTACTAATAAAATGGGTATTTTATTTATATACCACAAAATAAAATAAAACTAAATTAAGCTTATTGACTGCTTTAAAAAAAAAAAAACTCTATTTAACATGGTTAAAACAAACTGGGAGCTGGGCATGGAGGTATAGACCTGCAATCCCAATGACTCGGAAGGCTGAGAAAAGAGGAGTGGAAGTTTAAGGCCAACCTGGGCAACTTAGGGAGTCTCCGAAATAAAAAATAAAAAGGGCTGGGGATGTAGCTCTATGGTAGAGCACCTCTGAGTTCAATTCTCAGTACCAAGAGAAAAACAAATAATAGCAACAACAAAAATAAACTGGGCCCCAACAACCTGCCCAAACAGAGTTATTTAATAAATTATTATTTTATTTTAAAAGTCTGCGTTTTTACTTTGTCATTTGTGGACTCATAGCTATCTCTATAGAATAGGAAAAAAAGTTTCATAAATAAGTTCCAGGAGTGAGTCATGGAATATTTTAAAAGCTCAGTTTTATAGGTTCTATGAGGTTTCTTTATCAATTAAAAAGATTAAAGAACCCATTTACTCAATGATTCTTGGTGTGTGCAAATGTAGATTAGGACTGGCAACACCTGACTTTCCTGAGATTTTACCCCGACTCCTCTTATCAAATTTGGTAAATGAATACATCAGGTCATTATTCAGTTTTTGGATATAGCTGCAGAATTCACTGGAAGGAAAGAGCTGTTCTCTGATTGACAGGGCACTACCTATATCTATGGTAAACATGAACACATACGTTGCCAATCAGCCATCATAAGTGTACTTCTCATAGAAAATGTTAATTCAGGCCTTTTTGATTATTGATTTGAAAGGTAAAGGCTGGCTTTATTTTTAATAAAGGAGGTCTCCTTTCAAATGAAATGTAGATATAAATTAATCTTATAAGCAAACCACGTGTAAACTTTGGTCCTCAATCATCAAAATTAATAGTTAGAAATTTAAAAGTCGGGTGCAACTTAGGACAATGGGTTGGAAATGAATGTTGTGAACCATGATGCTCTTCTCTTATCACAGTCTACATTATATTAGATACCCATAGCTTAAGACTCCTATGAATATATAAACTAATAAATGAAACAAAAAAGGGGGGTGACAACTTTAGGTCAAAATAATCTCTCATGGGAGAGTCGCTCTATGCCATAAGGCAGTCTTGTGTACTTGGGAAACTTTAATTTATGTTTAATACATTTAAATACAACAAGTACCTCAGTGAAGTTTAATCTTTTTTCGTCTTCTTCATGTTACTGAGAATTAAACCCAGAGGAACTCAACCACTGCACTACATGGAGACAGGTTCTAAGATACTTAGGACCTCACCAAATGGCTGAGGCTGGTCTTGAGTTTTCAATCCTCCTGTCTCAGCCTCTGAGTCTCTGGGATTGCAGGCATGTCCCATCACACCCAACTGAGGGTTTAGTTTCAGTGGAGTAAATAAATCCAGTTACTCTCTTAATTCTTGGCTTTACATTCTGTGTGTAGATAACACAGTATGTCTGTGGAATACGTAGCTTCTTTTCTTCCTGGTTTGTTTGAAATTCAAAACCCAATGTCAAGTTTGTTGTAGATAGTAAATTAATAAATACTGTGTTTTATCTTTTTTAAAGAGGAAAATACTTTACCCAGTGCTGAAAAATCAGTCTTCTGTGACAATAACTGCATTGTTCTGGGTTTGGGACAAAGATTGACTTGTTATCTTTTTCTTTTCAGCACTGTAGATGAATATTCACCACAAAGGAAGGTAGGTAGACCCTTTAGAATTGGCAGTGGGGAGATCTGGTTTGGAGACCTTACCTGGCCTCACTTGGCATTTCTCTTTCTTTTTTTAGTTGGTGAATGGTGGCACTGGGGTTGAACCCAGGGGTGCTTTACCACTGAACGATATATATCCCCAGTCCTGTGTTTTTTTTGAGACACGATCTTGCTAAGTTGCCAAGGCTGGTCTTGAACTTGCAATCCTCCTGCCTCAGCCTTCTGAGTTGCTGGAGTATCGGTAGGCACTACCATGCCTGGCACCACTTGCATTTCTTCATAATTAAAATGAACACTGCTTCACACATAGCCGGGAAGGCAGGGAGGCCCAGGGCCGCAGCTCCCTGCCCTTCTCTGCTTTGCTGTGGTTTCCCTGTGCTGATACGGATTTGATTTTAGCCATGTCCCCTTGGCTTTATGACATTTTCAATCTTTTGTGGTACATTTGGAGTCTCAGAGCTTCCCTGCTGTCCCCAGACTGATAAAAATTTGAATTTTAAAACATTCATGCCCAAAACATTTAACTAAGAGAATCTTGACTCCAGGAGTTAGAAAATCTTATAAGGAAAAGGTTTACACTCTCATCAGGACAGAAAGGGAGCTGGTAGCGACAATATATATGTTCCTATTAAACTTGATGAGGGGGACATACAGAATAAGACCTCAGGCGCAAGTTTTGTAGAAGGAGACTATAATGTACCTATTTCCTTTAAGAAAGTCAATGTGCTACAAGAGAAGTGGGAAACCATCTCCAGGCTGCTTTTGTGAAATATATAAAAAGCCGAAACTCAGATTGTGGTAACTGTAACTTTGGGTTAGAGTTGAGATGGGGAAGCCAGGTCTTTCTGGGGAGAAGAGTCTTTGGATGTTTGTTGTAGTTTGTAAAAGACAGAGGTGGAAAATGTGGGAGTATTCTCTAGCTGATACTAGGAGTAATTACAGGGGCGTTTTGCCTGCTACTGGCCTTGGACACAGCCCATTGTATCTCTCAGAATCGCCACCTCCACATGTGTTAATTGAGGCAACTCCCAGTTTATTTCTTCAAGATTGGATGGGTGGATTTCATATTAAAAAAAAAAAAAAAATTGGCTAGCTCTTTTGGAACATGTTGTAAACAGCTGTGGTTTTCCAAAGGGCAGAAATACATTCATTCATTGTTCTCTTTCTCCCTTCTCACAGAATAAGGCCCTTTTCCACCAATTCAGTCTTAAGGAGAACTGGCTCCAGCACAGAGGAACTGTGACCGAAGCAGAGGAAAGTGAGTAGGATTTTCAGGGAGGGGTGGGGCAGATGGAACTGCAGTTAGTCACCATGGCTCTCGGATCTGAACACCTCAGCCTGCCCTGAACCATCTTTTCTGGCTCTCAGCAAATCATCTGGGGATGATTTCCTTTTTCTTCCTTTGAGCATTACAGTTTTCTTAGATTGTAACACTGTCCAATGGACCCAGAATATTTTAAATTGGAGAAGCAAGGAAAGAAGGCTGTGCCAAGGACCTCCTTGACTTCTTGGGTAGAGGTTCACAATATACTGGAAACTCAATGTTTTCCTCCTGGAACCTTCTCCTTGATTCTGCTCATTGCCCAGGACTAACTGGAAAGGCCATCAAAGCCAGCGTGCAGGATGTTTGCTGAGGCAGTCCCTCTGAAATTTAGGGAAGAGAAATAAAAGGAAGGGTGGTTGGCGGAAATTCCTCCAAAGCAAAGCAGTGTCAGGCAGCGCCATGCACTGAATATGTTCCCAGCCAGTGCTCATTAGCTGACAGGGGTTCATGACTACAAGGTTCTTTCCATTAGCACCCAGAAACTTAAAAGCCTTTCTAGTGAATATTTTATACTGGCACCAAAATGGTGGCAGTGGTTTCCTCCCATTGGAACAAAGGTTGAGAGACAAGTGTAGAGCCAGGAAACAGTGAATTAAAGTATTCACACTAGTGTGATTTTGAACCTCTCTTTGACTCATATTTCTCCATGTGCTAAAATTTGAAATATAGACATTTAATATGTGTTGATTTTCTTGAATATTTTAAAAACAAAGTGTCACAAGTTTGCCTCTTCTGTGGTGTTTGTATAAATGCTGCAGGTAGATGAGTCTATTGTCTGACATCGTCAGCTTCCCCAAGTGAGAGCAAACTCATAACCCACTTGAATCAAATTGTGAAATATGATATATCAAGAACTATGTAATGTTTTGAACAGCCAACAATAAAAAATTTTAAAAAAAAATAAAAAATAAAAAATAAATCAGGCTTATTTTCAGGGATTTTGGAGATGAAACTTTTGAAACAAGTTTGTTTGGTTTTTTTTTTCATCCTCCTTCAAAACTGGTTTGAATAAAACCCATTTTTCTACCAAAAAAAAAAAATTATCTTACCTCATGATGTGTTAATTTCTGAACTCCCTCGCCCATTTATCTTCTAATTTAATTGTGTAGTTTTCCAAGCTGAGCTGCAAAAAGTCCAAGTATTTCAAGGTTCCTGGCCTCTTTCTCTTTCATCTGTTTATTAAGCAAAGTGTAAACTAACCCTCCAGTTAGTGGTTTGTAGACTGGATCTTTGCCTTGCTCAAAAATTGCATTTTTCCATTAAGGGAGGAAAGCTTTTTCCCCCTTTACAACCTATTGACAAAATATAAAACAACTATTTATTAGAAGCTATTGTTTTAGTGACACACCCAACCAAACCACGCAAAATCTGTCAAGTGCTTTCTACTTATATGTTTGCTTTAAGGCTCTAGACATGTCAACTCATGGTTAGGCTTTTGCTTTGTTTGCATTTCTATGAAAGCAATCCTTGGTTATTTTTTGTGATGCCATTTAAATTGCATATAAAATTTCTCTTAGGAGCTCATTCTTTTATATATATATATATATATATATATATGCAGAATATCTAATTATCCTGTATATTCTGAAGCAGCTAGTGTTTTATACATTCAGAACAGCTGATTTTAAGAAGCAGTGTGTCAACAATGTACGTTGCTATTAAAAGTTTTTGCTATTAAATCATAACCAAAAAAAAATTTCGAGGAGCCATTTACCCTGATGGTGATAATTTCCTAGTAATAATTATTAGCACCACAGATAATAAAAAAGGAAATTAAAAAGGTGAGAAATGTGACCTCTATTTGGAAACTAAACTCATCCCTACTTTGATAAGGGGGCAAGAGGGTCATTCTTAATGATTGAGAAAGCCGAACACAAAAACCAAGACAGATGACTGATTTTTAGATAAGCTTATGAGAATTCTAATAGCAAATGTGCTGTTTTTGATTGGTCCACTGAGACTGTTATGAAATGGAGTGTAAAATAAAAATTTATGAGTTAGATGTTTTAATATGCTGCTACTTTGGAAGATCCTAGTCACTCTCAATAAAGAGATTCAAAAGTACAGTCCTATGTAGCACAGATGCCACTATATTCTAGTCAGACGGTCTTTACCTCGATGCCAGGAGCATACATTTCTAAGACAATTGGGGAAACCTAACTACTACTTATGCCTATTCATCAGCGTTATAACATCTAAGTCTCCTGTGCTTGCAGGCACATACTTACAGGCATATAATCTGGGGCACTCCTGTGCTTAGGCAAATGCGTACACCTGACTGCATATGCTTTAAAATGAAGAAAACAACAAAGTGGGTGCCTTGATTTGGGATAGTCTGTACCTCATGATCTCAGTTCTGTTCATAATTTGTTTTGACTTGTACAGTTTTTTGCCACGTGTATATAACGGAGCACTCCTATGTCAGTGTGAAGGCAAAAGTTTCCAGCACAGCACAAGAGATCCTCAAAGTTGTGGCAGAAAAGATCCAGCATGCAGAAGAGGATCTGGCTCTGGTGGCCATCACATTCTCGGGGGGTAAATTATTTTCTGTCCTTGCATATTAACCTTTCACTGGCTTTCCTCCAAAAGGAGAGAGTTGACATTTTTGTAGGATAAACGCTGAGCTCTTCTCTTCTGGGCCCCCAGCTGGATGACCACAGTAACAATGAGAAGCTGCCTACCAGAGGTGTTTCCATGACAACAGTGGGGTAGCATTAGATGCTGAATTTCCTCCCCGAGAACTGAATAGTGAGGCACACCAGTGTTTTGAAATGCATTATAAAGCTTTTCATATTTTGTACTCTAGATAACCCTTCCATTTTCATATTTAAATTAACTTGGGAAATTGCTAAAGGATGACATTTCTGTAGGGGAAAAAAAAATAAAAGATGGCCTTGAACTAGTCTTATTGCTGGTTGACAGTTTAATACATAAAAACTCCTGTCGGAAGAAAGGAAACTACACAATAAGCCAGAGCTCACAGGGCAATGTACCTTCAGGTGGACGTGGGGAGCAAGACCTAGTTACAGCTTTGCCTTCTGTTGGACTTTATTTATCCACAGAGAATGCTTTATTGTCTGTTTTCAATAAGATCACACAGATTACAAGCTGTCACTATTGATCTACTCAGCCTGAACAGACCCCATCATTTTCATGGGGACCTGTCAGATCTCAGTGTCACTGGCCTCCTTTTTGGCTTACTATCTTTATTTAATATCTCATTAACCCTGAGAAAAATACGAAGAAAGTAACTAAACATCAGAAGTTGAAAAAAATATAAGAACTCTGTGAACTAATCAACCAGAGATGGGGCAGGCAGGGGAGGGGAGCAGATAGACCACATTTCTGTTTTTCTTTGTTGTTCAGGAAGAGGTGAACCCCAGAATATACCCAGCATGACACTAGTTAAAGCATCATGAAATAGTATCTGGCTCCTATCGCTTTGAGACCTACAGGCAGGTAAAATGGTCCTGTACGCTAGTCCATTACACAGCACACAGGCACTTCTCTTTAGGCCTAATGAAAGAGAGTCTCTCCTCTCCAGAACTCTGTACAACCTCTCAAAGCATGATCTAGGGCTAGAAGGGAGCTTGGTAGTAGAGCACATGCTTAAGATGCATGAGGCCCAGGGTTCAATACCTAGCACCTACCCCTGCCAAAAAATGATCTAGGGGGAAAACATGTGAACATGATGTATTCTAATCAAGGAGTGGTTGTTTTTTTTTTGTTTTGGGTGGGGCAGGTGGTACTGGAAGTTGAACCCAAGGGTGCTTTACCACTAAGCCACATCCCCATGTTCTTTTTACTTTCTATTTTGAGACAGGGTCTTACTAAGTTGCTGATACTGGCCTTGAACTTAGAATCTTCCTACCTCAGTCTCCTGAGTTGCTGGGTTTATGGGTCTGTACCACTGCAATCCATCAAAAGTGGTTGAATTTTTATTAACATGTTTTAGATAGATATGATAAGTGTATATTTAATTTTTTGAGTGACTAAAAATATTAAATGATTTTAAACATTGAGTTTCATCAAAACCAACATTTGCTGCTCAAGATGCAGCCCCTGCAGAAAGTGATCATTAGGTCCCTGTCCCAAAAGGGCTAGAGAACGAAGGGGCTTCAGTAAACTTTACAACACAGTTGCTGGTGGCCCTGGGATGACTTGGAGCTGACAGAAACTAGCAACTAATGAGGGGCTCTTTTACTACCTAATATCTATTTGATGGCTGTGAAGTACCATTTTCATCCTCTATTAAATTAGATTCATCAGGATGTGCAGTGAGTTCTAATGGGGTCCATTGCTAATCATCAGTAGAAATGTCAGCTCATCTCTGGAATTAGCCTACAGATTTGAAAATGTGCCACCATTTCCCATCCTTTAGGATTTTTTGTTTGTTAGTTTGTTTTTTTAACATGTAAAGAACCTTCCTAGCCAGGCATGGTAGCATGTGCCTATAATCCTAGCAACCTGGGAGTATGAGGCAGAAAGATCACAAGTTTGAGCCTAGCCTGGGCAATTTAGTAAGATCCTGTCTTAAAATAGGGGAAAAAAAAATAGGGCTGGGGATTTAGTTCAGTGGTAGAGCTCCCTGGGTTCAATCTCCAGTAATCCACCTCCACTCACAAAATACCTCCCTGGGCTGGGATATAGCTTGGTTGGTAGAGTGCTTGCCTTCCATGCATAGGCCCTGGGTTCAATCCCTAGCACCACACACATACACAAAAAAGTACTTTTCTGCCTGCATCTTATTACCCTCCTGAACAATCATTTTTTGTTGTTTTGTTTTTGTTTGGGGGTAGTGTTTTGTTTCTTGCAGTACTGGGAATTGAACTCAGGAGTGCTCTACCACTGAGCTACACTCCCAGCCCTTTATTTTTATACTTTTAAGACAGGGTCTCACTGAATTTCCCAGGCTGGGCTTGAACTTGTGATCCTTTTGCCCTGAGCTTTCTGAGTAGCTAGGTGTGCATGCCACCCAGCCTGGCAAAAAAAAAAAAAAAGGTTTTAATTAGGAAAAAAAAGATATTTAATGTATTTCTTGCTCTGTTTACATATTTTTTTTTTACAAATAATGTTTTAATGCTACTTCAGGATGAAATAACAATTTATTTCATCAAATTTGTTTATTCTTGTCAAAAAAAGTTTTGAAATGTTGGAGGTTTATGGCTTTCTCTTTAAAAAAAAGTCCTATTCTAAAAACTTTAGTAGTTTCTAGATGCTTTGTACCCAGGTTATGGGTACATATGATATATGTGTGTGCTAACAATAACCTACTCACTTACTCAAAGGTTAAAATTCGGTTTTGATCTTTTATAGTACAGTAAAAGATCTGAAAGTTCTTTAGAACCTGGCTGAATGGAGCCATTTACTACCCACATCAAAAGTGCAGCATTCTAGTACTCTTGGTCTTTATAATGCTGGACCATTAAGAATATATTAGCCGCTGTCATTTATTTTTTTAAAAAATAAAAAGAAAAAGAATATATTAGAACCTGGCACAGTGGCCCATGCCTGTAAACCCGGCAGCTTGGGAGGATGAGGCAGGAGTATCACAAGTTCAAAGCCAGCCTCACCAATAGTGAGGTGCTAAGCAACTCAGTGAGACCCTGTCTCTAAATAAAATACAAAATAGGGCTGGGGATGGGAATGTGGCTTAGTGGTCAAGTGCCCTGAGTTCAATCCCTGGTACCAAAAAAAAAAAAAAAAAAGAAACCAGAATAAACTGAGAATCATATTTTTGGTTTTAGCAAAATAGGAAACTTACCAAAAAGTAATAATCAGTGTTAGTAAGTGTTCAAGTTTTAAAATTATTTTTAGGAAAATATAATGAGTGTTTTTCTTAAAAAAAATAATTGGAAAGCAATTTTTGTCAATAACTTTAAAAATATCCATTCCCTTTGACCCTATAATTTTAGTACTGAGAGTCTATCTTAAGAAAATCATCTATAAGCAGACTAGGATTTATGTGCAAGGATGTTGACCTCAGCAATATATATTATGGCTGCTATGCTAATAGAACCCATTTATCAAGTGCCTATTATGTGCCAGGCCCTGTGCTAGTACTTACCATGTATCATGTCATTTAATTTATATGACCAAAAGAAAGGAAACGATTAAATGTTCAACAGTAGAGGAAAGATAAGATGATGGCATAATGAGCTGTTACATAACCAATTAAACATGACATATATAAATAACTTTGATAAGTGGGTAAGAGCTTATAATACAATCAGAATATAAAACCTTAAATGGACCCAATTACAAGTCTATGTGTGTATGAATAATTATAAATGCATGTGAATAATAACTGAAAATATGTATAGGAGTATAATTATTTTGGAGAGAGGATGATGAGTAAAATTTACTTTGTTCCTTTAACTGTCCTATGTTCTAAAGAATAACTAAAGTAAGAACTTCAAGAGAGTTCTACTCCATGGCATTCAACCTGATTAATGCCTACACTGAGCTGAGCAGTGATATCCATGTTACCTCTGGTGTCATGTATAATGTGTAGAACTGAATTAATCTACTTTAAATCCTAGTTAATATACTTTTGAACATATTTCGTGGGCAATTTTAACTCAGTACATGTTTTGTGTAGGCCTATTTTGTTTATAATTACTTTTTTTTTTTAAATAAAGAAAAGCACGAACTTCAGCCGAATGACTTGGCCATCTCCAAATCTCTTGAGGCATCTGGTCGGATCTGTGTCTACCGGAAAGACCTGGCTGACACTTTGGTAAGAACCTTTAGCCCTGTACTTCAAACCTAAATGTCAGACTCAAGACATACTTCCACATGCTTTATAATGGAAAAAAAAATATATATATATATATATATATATATATATAAAATATATATATATACATACACACACACACATACACACACACACACACATATATATATAATATATATATATTATATATATATATCTATGAACTGTGTCTTTCCCTAACCAGCTGCCAGAGCACACTGCTTCTGCAAAACAAGGAGCTGCCTACCTTAGGAGCTCTTCCTGCCTACCTTAGGAGCTCTTCAGCTCCTTCTCGCTGCTTTCTGATCTCCTGAAAAAAGGGATTGGAAGCAAGTGACTGCTTCTCCTATGGAATTTCAATTTAGCTTATTCTTGTTTGGGAGGTATGTGGAGATCAAACTGAGAAATGTTCCCCAGGTGAATTTAGGGGCAAACAGACTGAATGCTTTGGTTCAATGCACTCGGTGCACTCTGAGTGCTCGGTTTCCTTGAAGAAAGAGTGAGAGGGCGGGGGTAGAACTTAATTGGTAGAGTGCTTGATTCACATGCATAAGGCCCTGGGTTCAATCTCCAGCACCACAGGAAAAAAAAAAAGAGAGAGAGAGAGAGAGGAAAGAGTGGATTATCAGCCCTCCCTATGTAGGATGGGGTCATAAGGATGGACATCAGACACCACTGAAGAACAGGAGTTTGAAGAAATTTAGAACACATCCTTTCAGTAGTCAAGACTTCAGTCTCTTGGCTGCTTCTTGAAAGGCAGGGTCAGGCTAGATCCACCATCTAGGACAAGCAGGCTCTAACAGTGTGATCATACCTTCTAGACTCAAGGCCCTTTCATGGAGTCGTCACTGGGGCCTGTCTTTCTAGCTGGCTCCCATTGTATATATAATTAAGGAATTTTTATCCCACATGGGTTAACTAAAATTGTTTTAATAAAAACATTCTATGTAAAATTATCTGCAGGACATCAAGCTAACATAATAATGTTCATCACTGTCAATTTTCATATTTATAACCTGATAGGGGTTTGCTGAGTAACTGACCTATAGTATCTCATTTAACATTCCCAATAAACCTGTAAGTTTTAGAAAGGCTAAATTACTCACTAGCTTCCTAAACCACACAAGGGAGAGTGCTAGGATTTTTTTTTTCCTTAATTTTATTTTGAGACAGGATCTTGCTAAGTTGCTGAGGCTAGCCTCAAGCTTGCAATCCTCCTGCCTCTGGCCCCCAAGTAGCTGGAATTATCAGCATATACCACCATGCCCAGGCAGCAGACTACTAGGATTTTTAAATCCCGTTATGTTTGACTCAGAAGCTCCTGCACATTCCTTTCATTTATAGGTGATGAGGAAGAAAAGGAGTGGGAAGCATTTGCTTTACTTGGGCCTTTTCTGTTCTGACCTTTAGCAGATCGCAGGTCCTACATAACACCCTCAGTGAAACATGATCAACTGGGTAGTTAGTAAACATTTTTAAAAAAAAACTGGGGCTTGAACCCAGGGACACTCTACCCTTGAGCTACATCTCCAGACTTTTTTTTTTTTTTTCATTTGAGACAGATTCTCACTAAGTTGCCAAGAGTCTTGCTAAATTGATGAGTCTGGCCTGAAACTTGTGAGCCTCCTGCCTCAGCCTCCAGATTTACTGAGAGTTACCTAGCCCAGCTCTGCACAGTATCTCTTTTAGTAAATATTGAAATTGATTGTACCCTTCCCTGTGATTTAACGTGTAGCCACTCTGGGGCTCCCGGCAGTGAAGGGACCTGCAGTTGAATTGCCTCCCAGTCCTCTCTAAGCCACACAGCCCTCATGCAGTTCCTTGATCAAGCTGTTCAGTCTCAGGCACCCGGTGCAATGTCTCCATGGAGTAAGTGGTACTGTGATGTATGTTCTAAGAGAGGCCAGATTCCATCCTGCCCTCAGATGTCTCCCCCATCAACTTGGGGCACCACTTCACATTTCTTCTTGGGAATCATAAAATTCAGTGTTTCATCTGAAAAGAATTTTAGTTAAAATAGAACATCATGAGGGAAGAATAACACAGGAAACACAAGAAAAACCTAAGTGAAAGTTTTGGAACCCACTAGCACTTTGATTTCATTTTAGTATATATTTTAGACATCAGGAATTAGAATATGTTTCCTAGACTAGGGAGTGGATGACCCTGAACAATCAACCAGAGGGGCAGTCCCAGGGTAAGGGGCACACATAGGGAAAATTTAGATAAAAAGCCAAATGAACACACCCTTACAACTCCAAATTATTCAGCCGCTATTGGTGTTCCTTCCCTTTGACAATCTGTGGTGAAGTCAGCCTGGTCCCATCCTAGCAGACCGACCCTGAGGAACCTTGTCCCCCACCCCAGCACCTCCTCATCTGGAAGCTCGTTCATTTAGTCAGCACTTTCTGAGCTCCTTGCCATGGCCAGCACTGGGGATAAGAGGTAGTTTAAACCTTCCTCCTCTGAATCATTGTTCTTCAGAGGGAAATCTCTGAGAAGATCTTTTTGTTATGAGTTGCTTTTTTTGTTTTGTTTTGTTGTTGTTGTTGTTGTTTTGTTATTTTTAATTAGGAAACCTCTTAATAAATGTAAAACTTCTAGAAATGCAAATCATTTATTTTTCAGATTAGAAGTAGACACTATTATTTGGCATCTGAAATAGTCCCTCCTTTCTGCCATATCTTTATTTTTGCAAAGTCCCATTCTCTTAGTCATTAGCTATTCAAGTCCAGCCCCTCAAATGATGGAAGAATTTGTATTTTAATTAGAAAGTGTCAAATATTTTGGAAAGGTGCCAAATTATTTTTTAATAGCTTTAATGGTGATGATAAATTTAAAGTTGCATTGGCATTTAATTATTTCTGGCCAGATTTTTAAGGAAGTTACCAGCCTCCTATGATTAGGCACCATTTTTTTTTTATAGAGAAAGCAGCTAATACTTAAGAAGTTACCATAGGATATAAATGAAATAGCTTTTATTTTTTATTCCATGTTGAATTTTTTCACTTTCCACGGGCATTTTAATAAAACTTGTAAATGTGTATCTGGGATGAGACTTGTTAAACATATTTCCTGTAAAAGCCATGTCTGTCTTTATTGAAGTGCACTCTGACATTTCTTTTGTTTGTTTTTCTACTAACCCTGCTGGCACATTAATTCTTACCAGCAGCCAAAGTGATTTCAGGGCTTTTGCTTTCATTATGCTGTCTGCCAGGGCAGTGTTTTATAATCAGATTTGTGGGTGGGTGTGTGCTGGCTTGGGGGGGAGGGGGAGGGGGAGGCTAACTCAGTGAAGTATCATTGATCACATTCTACCAGTTCCAAGACTGTTTCCTAAATTGGCTATAACTCACTGAAGGTGAACAGACCAGGAAAAATATTAAGCGCACCCAGAAATGATTACCTTTCTAATCTGGGCTTCTGGTGAACTTCTATAGGCAGCCAATTCACTGAAAAACTTGTGGGAATTACTGAGGCTCCTTTTTTTGCTTGTCTGTCGGTTTAGAACCCGTTTGCAGAAAATGAGGAATCACAGCAAAGGTCAATAAGGATTTTGGGAATGAACACTTGGGATCTTGCTCTGGAATTAATGAATTTTGATTGGAGTCTGTTCAATTCAATTCACGAGGTGAGTAGGGAGTGAAAAGATCAAAATGCTAATGCTATTTTCACTGTGAATTCTTCTTGAAGAGATGTTTTGATGTGCAGTGGTAGAGTTATGCTAGGATGGCATGGTCCAAAAGTTATTTTGTGGACTTAAAGTATGTTGGAAGTCTGACCCCACCCTAGGTAAATTGGGTTATGTAATCATGCTTTTATATACTTGTGTATAGTAGTACAGATATGGTATATTTTTATATGTGTATATACATTTATATAGGCATATGATTTGTGTGTGCATATATATACATATATATGATGCTTTAATGGAATTGAAGAATGGTTTTATGTTTGATTTTTGATTTTCCCATTTTTTGCATGAAGTTTACAGTAATCATATTTATATTTGAACACATACACATATAAAAGATGTGTATACCCATCCTTTTACTTAAGAACATTCCAAAATTTAGACTGTGCTCTTAAGACTTCAAATACTTTCTTTCAAATATTGGATATTTTTTGAATTTTATATCCATTACTGTCTCTCTTCTGGATAGAGAATAACATTTTTGAATAATAGATTAGGAGCTAAAACGATTAATGAGTAAATGTGGCTGGTAGAAAGGCTCATAGGAATCGTGAGATGAAGAATGTTACAGCCCTGTGTGACCACATGTTGGACTTTACCATGTAATGACATTTTTCATTCCAAAATGGCTTTTCCTTTTGAAGGAGAACCTCATGCCCTATTTAAGGATCTTTAAGTTTCATTTTTATTTTGGAATGTCGGTTTAGAACACATTTGCAGAAAATGAGGAATCACATTTCACATTTAAAAATTTCAATATTACCATCTGAATTTGAGCAAGAAGTGTGCTTGCTCAGGCTGAATGACTTTGTCTTTGGCAGTGTTGGTGGTATGGGAAGTGCCACTGCTTATGCAGGGGAGAGTGTGGATTACTTCTGTCAAATGTGCACACACTGTCATTTAAAAACAAATCCTGGGGCTGGGGCTCAGTGGTAGAACACTTGCGTAGTACTCGGGAGGCCAGGGGTTTGATCATCAGCACCAGATAAATAAATAAATTTTTAAAAATAAATTTAAAAAAACCCAAATCTCTTCTGTTGCTTTTTGTGCAGTAGATATAAATAGTTACTGGTTCTGCTTTATTTGTAAATTATTAGGACTAGCTCTTAATCTCAATTTTCTTTCTGTTTACATTTTGGCAATATCTCATTATCAGTGGTTCTCAAAGAGCAGGTCCCCAGGCCACCATCTCCAGAACCACTAGGGAACTAGATAGAGTTGTGCATTTTCAGCCTGTCCAGAGTCTACTAAGTCAGAAATCAGGGACAGGCTGATTAGCTCTCAAAGTCTCCCAGGTGGTCCTAACTCACATTAAAATTGATAACTGATTTGAAGTCTGATGTGCACCTTAACAAACACTAGTAGTGTTTGTGTTTTCACTTGAGTTTTCTACATAACAAGTTTGAGAAGTTTAGGGATTCCATTTGACCTGTGATTATAACTTTAGAATATTTTTATTTTTATCATATAAAGATATCTTCCTTACAGTCAGAAAAATTATATGAGGATTCTAGGTGAGCATTATTGAATGAGGCATCTCTAAAACTAAAGCTCAATCACTCTGAATTTAATATCCTATTATTTGTTCTGTTTTCTGTAAACATATGAATGATATGGTGTGGCTACCTGAAGCAGCTCTTAAAAATGAACTAAATGTTCTATCTGCTTTATGTTGTGCTAAAAATAATCCCTGGCATGGGTACATTTTCTTTCAGCAAGAGCTTATCTACTTCACATTCAGCAGACAGGGAAGTGGGGAGCACACTGTGAACCTCAGTCTTCTGCTCCAGAGATGCAATGAAGTCCAGCTCTGGGTGGCCACAGAGATTCTACTCTGCAGCCAGCTGTGCAAGCGAGTGCAGCTGGTGAAAAAATTCATCAAAATCGCAGCTCAGTAAGTTGCTGGTGGTGAAAGTGCTATTTCCATCATCTCCTTGAGAAAGTACTTCAGTTTTGTTTTTTGTTTTCTTTGGTTTGGTTTGGTTTTTCCCCTTGTGATAATGAGATGGTTTGGGAGATAAAAGCATAATATCAGGGTAAATGACCAAATGTTCTTGAGTATTTAAGTTTTGCATTTAAAATATTTATATCTTAAAGTAAATGTCCAAATAACAGACTGAAGCACCATGTTCCATGCTCAGAACTAATAAAGAGAACCCAGTCTTACAGTGTCGCTGGCTACTACAGTAGACTCAGCAAATGGGAGAAGATGATGTGAGTGAGAATTCTTGAAAATCAGGTGCATTCTGAGAGGATCCTGCTCATTGTTTTTTGATGCCTATAGTATAAACTTTTGCAAACTCTTTTGTTAGAAAGCCCTTCACCAGCTGCCCTACCTTCCCCCTGAGCCTCACCCCCTAGGTGCAGCCTATACTCTGAATATGTCTGTCATGCACAGTAACTTCCAAGTCTGGCCATGTGGTATTGGCTCTGCCAAGAATGGCCACTAACACTCAGCAAGTTGCTGCTTTTCTTCAAGACCTTGGTCAAATGTTACTTCCTTCCAGATGACTTTCAGATGCAGGTCCCAAAACTTTTTAAAAAGTAAATAAATTAAAAGAATAAAATCAGATGCCAGATCCACTAACTCCCCTCAGCACACGCATACTTTTTACCCTTTTAATTCTTTCACCAGACTCTGTTAGGACAGGAACCAATTCTATTCAGTGATTGTGCCTGGCATAGAATATGGTACACAGCTGTGACTCAGTAAGTGTTGGTTGAATGAAATTTTAATAATTTGTCTCTTAAAATACAAGATTGGATTCAGTTAGCATATTCAGATAGCATTCTGCTATCATATATACATAATTAAAATAAATAAAGAAATTTATTTTTTTTAAAAAAGTACAAGATTGTTATCCTTCCTAAGAATGTTCTTTGGACAGCTTCCCAATAGAAACAGACAGTGCAGATCAAAATCTTCCCCAGTCACTTTTTGCCTCCTAGGCTTCCCACTTTATTTCTTCTTTGTCTTCCAAAATAGTTTGTATGTCACACAATTTTCAAGTACAGTCATCTCTGTGTCGTCAGGGGATTGGTTCCAGGATCCCCCTCAGGATACCAAAATCAAAGGATGCCCAGATTCCTTATATAAAATGGAATAGCATTTGCATGTAGCCTGCATACATCCATCGATATACTTTAAACCCTCTCTAGATTATAATACCTAATGCATTATGAATACTATTTAAATAGCTGTTATCCTGAACTGTTTAGGAACTCATGACAAAAAAAAAAAAAGCCTACACATGTTCAGTACAAACACACCATCATGGTCCTAACTACATAGTACATGAACTGCAACTGGTTGAATCCACACATCTTGAACGCATAGACAGGGAGGGCTGACTGTGCCTGTCAATGCAGTATATTCAAGAAACATATCAATCATATGTATAGCTCTATACAAGGTAGGTTGGGGCAATCAGACTGAGTCTGCCCAATCTTGCCTTCAAGCAGCTTGCCGTCATCTGGGATACTCCTATAGCTCAACCAGCTGCTGTGCAGAATAGGGTTGGGGAATGTCCTGGGATGAGGTCTGATTCTGTAAGGGACTTCAGAGAAGGGAAAGCTCATATTCAGGGTGTGGAATTGGAATCAGGAAACACTGGTGAAGGAAGTAGTGTCTGAGGACATATTTGCATTCTGGGTGGAATTTGATAGGTAAAAAGTCTAAAGAGCATTCTCTCCGTGGAGCAGCCTCACTGGAGACAGAAGCAGAGTCTGGCCAGGGAAGGCCACCTCCACAAATCTGGGGAATATAGAGGGATGTTTGTAAGGAAGCTGTTAGAGATTTATCTGCAAAGGAAAATGTTACCAAACCATGAAGGATCCTGACTTTCATCTGAATTAAGGAGGCAGAATGATCTAATCAGAATTGCCATTCAAAAACTGTACCATAGGTGAAAAGACCCCAGAAGGAGGAGCTTGTGTTTACCAAGGCAAGAGATCATGGAAGCACCTGACCAAGGTCTGCTGTGACTGGGATGTAAGGGAAGATAACAGGTTGAATCTTAGACTGCTTTTATGCCAAGTGCTTTTTTTTTTTTTAAATTCAACCTGTATATTCTAAAATGGACTGTAAGATTCCTAAAGATGAGTCTCTTTTAGGTAAAAAGCTTTCTTATAAATGGCTATTACATGGAGAAATAGGACATCAATGTTCCAAGGAGTAAAATGATACCACCCAGCTCCGTTCCTAGTATAAGATAATATCTATCCTCAGGGAAAAGAAATATATTCATATCTTCTCCATATAGCTCCATGCTCCTGAATTATTTATGGTACTGGTCTCTGTCCTGGCCCATGGGATGGAATGCCAACAGAAACATAAAGTTAAATTCCTTATAATTACGCTAGTAGGAACAACCAAGGGAAAACAGTAATTTCCACAATCATGAAGTGTTTTCTCTGCCGAAGGCATCCTATTTACATATTCATGTTTCCCTCCTCAGCATCCCCATCCCCCACCTCTGTGGATTGAGTGGATTTTATTTCCTCACAGAGACAAAGGAGTGTTTGCTGGGCTGGAATGTTTAGTGTCAGTCTGTTCTTTTCCTGGAATGAATGACCCATGGTAACAGGATTCCAGACTGGAATAGTAGCTGATATTTGCACTGTAAAATTTGTCTTCTGCATAAATTGTGTTTACATTAATTCAGTTCTATTTTTTAAACAGATACAGGCATCAGTTAGCTTGTATTTTGTTGTTGTTGTTTTATGTTTGACTATAAAGAAAAAACCTTATGGGCTATGAAAAATATTTGTAAGGAGCTAACAGATAAAAAGATGAGAATTATATTTAAGATTTTATATGATAAATGATGCTGAAAAAAGAGGAATAATAAACTTTTTATCATAAAAATAATAAAACTATTTCCCCAAAAGTTCTTGTTTCAACTTTGGGAAATGCTGTGTAAAGAGCTCACTGTATGCGAGGCAATCGGATATGGACAGAATATAAAAAAATGAATGGATACATACTCTAATGTTAAGAGCCTGCTGCCCAGAGGAGATGATATATGGAATGACCAGAAGTGAGAGAAACCACCAGCAAGGTGCTTCTGGCAGAGGGATGGAACATTCCTTCTGACCAGAGCCTCAGCACAGGGTTGGGTATTTCAAAACATCAAGTTAGGAGGTGGAGCTAGCTCTTGTTTGTTCTGGCTGTGAGCTTTCCAGGGGTCTGAGGAGGAAGAAGGAGTACAATGAGTGAATTAATGACCAAGGAGAGGTGGAGTCACTGAACTGAGGCCTAAGACAGCAGCCATTCTCATATTAATGGAATATACCAAGCCAGGTCCACCAGGGGAAAGCTGACAAGGAACCAGGTAAAGGGGTCAACTGAAATGAGGCCCAGTTGCCTCATACCTACCAGAGACAGCTGACAGCCTAAAACTGGCAGGACTCAGAGGGATAGGCCCTGCCAGCCAAGGCTCCACAGTGAGGTGCCTGATGACGTGTGCCACCCAAGTATCTTTGACACTGGGTGTGGAGGCAGCAGTACTTTCCCAGTTCAACTGCTCATGGGGATAGAACCTCTTGGAACTCGGGTGTAGCTGGACTGGGACAGTGTCTGATTCACTAGGCAGCAGCCTCTGCCTCTTCTCTAACAGCCCAAACTTTAACAGCCCAAACCATTTCCCTGGTTATAAACTATACATTCTTATTTACTCCTTGTGCCTCTGGATATTTATAAATAGCTTTGAGGGAACCTCAAGAACCTTTAAAGACTTCCTAGCTTTTGCTGGTAAAAAGTTGTCAGGGAGGAACTAAAAATAACTTAAAGGCCAACACTAGCTGAAAAATAAATCATGCATATGTTCTTGATGAATGTAGCTATTGATGATGGTAGTGAAGTGCCTCTAGTACCTAATATAACATGATGTTTACCTAGAAAAGCAGAATTGTAGACCCTGTCCCAAAATTCCCTTTGAGATGTTGTTGGAGATATGAAGGAAGAGATGGCATCTGAAGGAAACTAAACTAGCATTGCTAGGTACCTGTTGAGTGCCTGGCTCACTGCTAAACACATTGATGTTTAGTTATTGAGGCAGAACAGTTTGTTACTCTTAAAGCCTTACTTCAGAGAAGTTGTGTTCAAATGCTCTCCAGATAAAGAAGTGTTTGGAATTCACAGGTTGCTCATTCTGGTCTGAAGTCCAAGCCCTCTCTCCTGACTTTGAAAATTAGTGGGATATTGACCACATTGGCCTCTGGTGATTGATATTATGCAGAATGGATAACCTTATAGAGTGCCTGGGGCACAACATGATCTTAGCTGTCATTTTATTTCTTTATTTTTTTAATGAGAAAGGTGAGAAAGAAACCCCAGGATAGATGCTGTATTTTAAACACATACATAATATAGTAGTCATTTTGTTGGTAGCAAAGAAAATGTGTCTAAGTAGGGTGGGATGAGGAAAACATAGGCCTGTGAGGTGAGACGTGCTTTTGACTGTCAAAAACTGAGAATAGCAGACCAATTCAAGAGAGAAGGATATGGCATGGAGAGAAAAAGGTGAATTAAAGGTTGTTCTGTTGAAGTTATAAATGCATACAAAATAGGTTTTAAAGGAAAGAAGATCTTGTGAAATGTCAGGAGGTGTCAAGAGCATAGACCTTTTCTTAAAGGAAGAGCGAAAGCACGGGATCACTTCTTTTGCTTTAGGAACAGCCAAGGGTTGCCACTCCTCCCCTGGGCAGTGAAGGGCAGGGAGACTGAACTCTGGCCTGAAAGAGTCTTTCCAGCTTTATCTTTTGTGATCACCCATTTAAAGATTATTTCCTCAAAGTGTACTCTGCTTTCCTTTATTCCATAGCTGCAAAGCCCAGAGAAATCTGAATTCCTTCTTTGCCATTGTGATGGGCCTTAACACTGCTTCTGTCAGCCGACTGTCACAGACCTGGGAGGTGAGTCTTGGGGTCCCATTGCAGGGGGGTTGGGCATGGGCAAAAAAATGAAAGAAAGAAAAAGAAATTCCAGAGAAAGTCTTTATTTAAAATAAATTGATTTATGAGTAGGTCGTGTAGCTTAGTGGTAGATGGCTTGCCTAGCATGCTCAAGACCCTGGGTTCCATCCTTAATATTGCTAAATAAATTAATTTGATTTAAACAGTTTAAATGTGATAAGTACTAGTAGGCTAAAAATGCTGAACAGTAATGGGTCAATGTGGTAGGGAGCATTTCCATCAAATATTCTTTAAAACAGTTCTCTAATATCTATGAAAGTGATGAAAATTGTAGAACATTCCTTAGCTATGATCAGCCTTCCTCCTGGGGGCGCCACTGCCATGCTGGCTGGTCCTGTCACAGTCTGGCCTGCATGATGCCATGTGCTCAGAAGTGGGTTTGCAGTGATGTTCATGAATTTGACCTTCAAGGCCTCTCATCTGCAAGTCTCCAGCATCGTGTTCACATGCACAGCACATATCTTTGTAAAATTTGTCAAAGTAAAGTTATTTTAAAAGAAGGCCCACAAAATGTAATAAGTTTGAGGCCCCCAAATGCTGACTGTCCTCCCTCTTTGAATGATGAAGGCTTTTGGGGTTGGAAGATAGAGGAGTCTACTCAAGTTCTGTCACATGGGCCCTGAGGACAGCGTGGGAAGGACCGAACTTGGGGATCCTCTAAAGAGCCAGACACAGACCTAGGACTCTGGCTCTGCCTCTTCACGGCCGGACTCCTTCTGTCCTCTGCTTTCCTCTCCTTCTCCCTCCTTTCCCTGCCTCACTACCTCACTGTGTGCCCTTCCTGTTCCTTTTCACTCTGTAACCATCCCGTCGTCTGTTCTGGTTCTAGCCTGTGTATGGCTGGTTGTGGTGGCCTCTCAGGTGCAGTTGCTGTCGCCGACTGTACCCTTCTCTCCATAGATTCCCTTTTGTTCAGTGGGCCATCTCTAGGGGAATGTATTTTGTGATCCAGGGGTCAGGGTCAGTGCTCCTTAAAGGGGTTCAAAAGAAAAGAAATTAAAGGCTTGCCTGCTCTAGTTAAGCAAACAAGACATTCACATACATCCTAAGGTTACAGGAGATGGGTAACAAATGCCACAACCTGTCAGGATAGAAAACAAGTGGCTGTCAAGGGCCTGTGGAGAGCAGAATTTGAATTAAGCCTCAAGAGAAAATTTGATTTGCAAAAATTGGGAAGAGAAATAATTATGTTCAAATAGCTCACATTCAGTCTGCATATTGACTGCCTATTGTGTGCAGGGCACTGTATCAGTGCCCTGAATGATAGAAAATGGGTACCTTAGAACATAGTGTGCATATGATGAATGAAGCCCTGCATCAGCCTCCTTGGACCAGAGAGGAGCAGGTGAAGGAACTCATTCCATCTCAGGGTAGCTGAGAAGACTAACAAGAAACCCTGACCCACACCTGTGATCATTGCTACTAGGGAGGCTGAGGCAGGAGGAGTGCAAGTCCAAGGCAGTTTGAGCAACTTAGTGAGATCTCATTTCAAAATAAAAAGGACTGAGGATGTCACTCAGTGGTAGAGCACCTCTGGCTAGGGCAAAAGAAAAAGAAGAGGGGCTGGGGATATGGCTCAGTGGTTAAGTGTCCCTGGGTTCAATCCCTGGTACCAAAAAAAAAAAAAAAGGTAATAAAAGAAAGAGGTTTGAGGAACTGAATCAGAGGTCAGCAATTTTTTTGAAAAAGGCTAGATAGTAAATTTATTTTAGGCTCTGAGGACCACATGGTTGCTGTTGTAGCTACTTAACTCTGCCATTGTAGTGTAAGAACAGCCACATACATAGAAGGCTATGATGATGTTTCAATAAGACTTTATTTACAAAAGCAGCCAATGGGCCAGACCCCTGGGGTAGAACAGTTTGACTTTGGACACGTTAGCTTTGAGATGTCACTGGGATGTTCATATGGAATATCCAGTAGACCAAGGCATAAAGCTCAGAAAAAAGGTTAAAGTCAGTTGCAAAAGTCTGCATTTTTTAATCTTTAAATTTGTCCTCCATTCATTAGGAGGCAAAGGCAGGAAAGCAGTTTTCAAATGTATTAAACTATCTGCTTGCTGGGAAAAACTGAGTCCAGACTCAAAATTATCAAATTGAAAACAACATTTATGAATCATTTAATAATGAGAGTTTGCCTCGTTATTTTTTACTTGGTTTGGAAACAGAAAATCCACAAACATCTTTTTGAACATCGTTAATGTTAATAGCTGGAATTTGTCAAGTGTCAGCCACAGACTGTATTCATTTCATGAGTTTATTCAGTATGTGTACTGAAGAAACTTAAGATCAGAGAGCTTGCAGACTCACACCAAAATACACAGCTGGAAAGAGGCAGAGTCAGAATTCACACTGAGCCTGGCTGCAAGCTTGAGCTCTGTAACCCAGAAGGTCACTAGGTCCCTATGAAAGGCATCCAGGTTTTCACTTCCTCATGTTGAAGATGGGCTGCAACCTTTCAGACCTTTGTCATTTGGCCTGAATTTTTCTTTGGAAGGATGGTGTAGGTTCCCATTCTCTGTCATCCTTGTCAGTGTGGTTGAGCCTGAGGATTCAGTGATTCTACCCATTAAATGCAAGCTTTGTCACGTAGGTTTTCATGGCCCTTCACTAACTCACCCTCTGCAGTAAAATACAATTATATCATTTATATAAAAAATGTCAGCCAACATCATTATTTCCCACTCAGCAACACTATTAAGAAGATGAGAACATTCATCAAAGGTAGACTATGGAATCAAAATCTAAGTTTTTATTAAATTATCAACAGTGTGTGGAATGTCTAACCAGCTAAATTCCTGAATCTTGTGGCTGTTATGTTAAGCTATTTTTAGCAACATTTCTAAGCAACGTCATATTAAGGTGATGATGAAAATTGCATAATGAGAAGCAATCAGGGGAGAGCCAGATGACCGAGGTATTTATGCTCAAAAATGTGACACACATAAGCCCGCCTTACTGAAAACTCCCAATGCCTCTCACGATAACTGACTTCTGTGACCTTTTGTTGTTTGTATTTGTTTTTTAGAAAATCCCTGGGAAGTTCAAGAAACTTTTCTCTGAACTTGAAAGTTTAACAGTAAGTAGTTGGGCTGGAGGGGATTTATTCTTCAAATTAACATTAGCGTCAGATTGCCTTCTAGATTTCAGTGGTCTATTCTGTACTTCACTGTCAGGGAGCCTCGACAAGTTTGCTTACACATGAAATAGGAGCTTTGCTTTTTAAGGAATGAAGTGAGCTGGCAGTTTCTGCTTCTTCCTCTCCATGTATAAGGTGCTGAGAATAATCTTTTCAGTGTGAATTTTCTGAAGACAGGTTTTAAGTCGAATCCATTTCAAAGCCTACGAAATTCATCAGTATAAATTTAGCAACAACTAACGTCTTTGTATTATTTTTTATTTTTTGCCTTTTCTCCTTTTTACTATTTCTTAGGTTTAGATCCAAAGTTTATAGTTTTCTTTTTTACAGCACAGTAAACCAGTGTTCTCATGTTTTCTCCACATTGTCTGAAGTTTTTTGGTTTTTTTTTTTTTTTTTTTTTTTTGCAGCGTACTTAACAAAAGACCTTTGAGGTTACCTCATGATAGAAATTATGCAGAGGAAACTGTACTTAAAGAACCTATTGAGGAAAATAATAGGGCAATCAAAAGGTGTCTCTCTTCTGCAGTCATTTCCCATTATTGTAAACCAGTAACTTGAGTTTCGTCCATTGCTTAGATTTCCTGCCCTAATTTAGTGAGTTTATTCTCCTAGGAAACCTTTATCTACTTTATTCTCAGGAAGAATTGCCCTATATCTAAGTCATGTTCAAATTGTTTATCAAAGTAGATTTGGAATTGTTTCTATAGCACCATTGATTTTTCTTTCTCTCTGTAATCTGCTTGGTTTGGCAGGATCCTTCCCTAAACCACAAAGCCTACAGAGATGCATTCAAAAAGATGAAGCCACCAAAAATTCCTTTCATGCCCTTATTGCTTAAAGGTAATTATTTTCTACCTTTTGTACTATGTAATTCCATCTTTCAGAAGTTTATCACTCTAACTGTAAAAGGCAAAAAAGGGAATCTCGGTTTATTTCTTTACAGGAATTTTGAGATTCATACCTGTGTTTGCTTGTGATCGTTTTTCAAATACTCAAATATTTTTGAGATACCTAGACTGCTTCATTGTGCTTGAGCAGATGTCAGAGATTTTCACTTAAATAACAAAGCTTGACATTGTTTTGTGTTTTAATTTTACTTTTCTTCTAAGCCTGGTGTTATTTTCTTTAAGTCTGCAATATATTTAACTCAAACAAGAACAAGGCTGGCATAAAGGACCCAAATGGTGATTGGTCGTGCTGTGTGTTTGCAAGCTGAATTTTGGAGATACAGCCCATATTGGTTGGTTGTGTGAGAAATCCCTTTCATCAAAGCAACATAATAGATGAAAATTATTGGTGGAGGTCTGAGGTTGTGGCTCAGTGGTAGAGCGCTTGCCTCGCATTTGCAAGGCCCTGGGTTGGATCCTCAGCACCGCATAAAAATATATTTATTTTATAAATAAAGGTATTGTGTCCAACCACAACTAAAAAGTAAATATTAAAAATAATTATTGGTGGAGAGTGTACCTTCTGCTTTCAAGAAGTGGAATTCAGTTGGGAAAGTGACAGCCCAAAGGGAGACCACTGAACTCTGTTCTTTAGAGCACCATATAATTCATTGTGAAACCTGTCGTTTAAATTTACTGGTATCTCAGTGATCACTTTTTCAAACCAAGGGGACAAATAAAAGGGAACTCTTGGGTTCGGCCTATAATCCTGACATTCTATCTGTACCTTCACCTGTGTGCTTCCCTAAGAAAGATTTGGGAATTTTTCTTGACCATATTTTGATTCTTAGAAGGGATTTTGTAGGAATATACCTTCATCCAGCTTCTGCCCTTCAGAGCTAACTTCCCCTGGGTCAGGGCCCAGTGATTGGACCCATAAGTGAGATTCTGAAAGTGGGTTGCTTCGGAATTGTGTAGCTGGCTGGCCTGGCCTCGCCATCCTCAGGCCTGCCTCTCCCCACTGCTACCCCACTGGCAATAATGCTGGCCTCCCTCCTCAGAACAGCCAGAGCTGCAGAATTGCTGTGAGTTCCTGTGCATTTCTGCCGTCCCTCATTTGTTCTTCATCTAATATGAAGCAGGAATCCCTGTGAAGCAAGAATATAAGGGTAACCGAGAGATAGATGCACAGAATATTCCACTCCAACTGAAAAGATTGTGTTAATGCTGAAATGAGGAGAGATTGCTATGCTGAAGTAACAATTTAAAAGCTCAGTTGATTTATTTGTTAAGTTTTAAGATAAGTTTATTCAGGCTCATGATTTCTATTTGCAGAATAAAACATCAAGTGGAGGGAAAGGGGTGGCAGGTAAGAAATAGCACTTAGAATCATTTAGATACAAGAAGGGACACTAGAAAATGCAGAAGGTTGTGGGAAAGGAATTGATTTTTGTAAGAAAAAATTTTTGAAAAAATAAATACTTTTAAGGTGATAAGAAATTAGTTGATGGTATCCCTTTAACTTCATTAGATTAGAGTATAGCTGTGTACTGTGTATTAGTGCTTCTTCTCCCAAAATGTTTAATGCAGTCAAGTGTCACACTTACATCTTAGCTTAGATGCAATTTTCTGCTCTACTGAGTTTATCTAGACCTTTTTATTGGCAGCAAAACAAATTTCACCTTTTTTCTACTGAAAAATACATTCACTCATTCCAAAAGAACAATTAGAAAATTAAACATTTTTCTTCTTTTCGTTAGACGCCTTCTTGAGTTAAATAAGCATTTATTTTTCCTTTACTTTAATTTTTCTTACAAAACTTAAACAATATTAGTATTCTTTTGTGTTTAAAGTTACCATTTTTGTCTGAGATCATTTCCAGAAGAAAATAGAATGAAATTTTTAAAAATATGTATCATGCCCCAAGATGAGGTATCTTTGAAAAAAAAATACACAACATTATTTAACTCTTAGATTTTTTTATTGTGTGATTTTTTTTTTAAGTGGTAATGAACTATTTTAGATTTAGAGCAACTGGCTTAATTTTCAATGAAAACTCTTTTTTCCTTCCTCTTCGTACCTTCTACTTGGAGTTGCTTTTAACTAGAGAATAGAACCAAACTGAACTCCTTGGGTGCTTGGGAAGGCTCAGGCCTCCCAAGTGTCACTCTTCGTGTTTGTAAGCATGCAGATTATCAGGTAAATGGATTACCTGGGGATCCTTCCAGCTGCTGGCTTTCCTCTTTCCCAGTTGAATTTTGTTGCCTTTGATGTGCTTTCCCCCTACTGTGCTGTGGAAGCCAGTTCCAAAAGGGATGAAGGGAAGCCCTAAATGAGAGCGAGAGGAAGGCTCCAGCAGAGCTGAGGTCCACAGCAGCTGAGCAGCATGTGTACCCTCTGTGATTTTTGAAGATGGTGGTCCCTTGTACTAGTGTGAATCATCAAGGGGTGTTTGCGGATTAACTGTAGTCCCTGCGGGGAGCTGCATGTCTATCTCAGAGCACAGATTACTGTTGCAGGTTTGCGGGGGTATTTGAAGGAAAGGACTGTCAGGGTGCTTGTGTGTTTCTTCTTCCTCCACCACTTTCAGTATCCTTTCATCCAGTTCAAATTTAGGAGGAGGTGTTTGGAGCATGTTCAGGTGTCTCTGGTTGAGACAAGGACCTGGCAAATCATATCCCATGACTTAAATTCGCACATTCTAGTTTTGAGCTCCACTACCTATGGCTGTCTTTCTCTTACTCCTTCCTCATCACACATCAGCCATTCAGCCACATCAGCTCTTCAGCCACTTTCGGCCCTTCCCCTCTGGGCTGCAGCCCCTTCCAGCCTCTCTCTGCCCACTTGGTCTAGTCAGCTCCCTGCTTATCAACCTCTTCCTGGCCTCTCCTGGCCCTGAGTTCAGCCCGAGAGGGAACCCCCAGGAAGAGCAGAGATTTAAAGCAGGAGTGAGTGAGGAGGAAAACAGTTCAAAAGTTGGAGAGGCAGCAAGTGTGCCAGAAATTCAGCAGGTGGACTATAACTGGAAGGCCCAAGACTCTTCAACTTGAGGGGCAGCATGGCGAGGGTCCCCAACTCTCTGGGTTTGAATCCTGGCTCTGATGCTTATAGTAGGGGCATGGATCAGCTGGGGATGTCCTTTGGGCCCAAGTTTCTCACCTGCTTACCTCCTAGGGTCTTATTGTATATAGTCTTTTGTAAGGGTTAAATGAGTTAATGCAGGTACAGCACTTCAAGTTGTGTCTGACATCATTGTCACTATTGTCCTTAGGAACATAGGGAGAAGGTGCAGAAAGGGACCCAGGAGCTCTGAGAGTCATCTGTAATCTGGAATTTTCTGTGAGGAAGTAAAGGCAAGCTTCCAAACTGTGTTTCATGTAGACAACGAGCTGTTTTGTTTGCTATACACGAAAGTTAAAAGCTAACTCTGTTGACTACACTTTTCTAAATATTGTGTCACAGAGTGAAAGCTTGCAGTTATTTTCTGAAAGCAAATTTGTGAAAGATAATAAAATAACCAGAGAGTGTCAGATTGTGTAATTAATTGTGAATCGTTTTCCTATTAGGACACCAGTTTAAAAGGAAAAGCAGCTTATGAAAACATTTCAGGCTACACTGCAAGCTGTGCACAAGGGAAACCTTGGTCAGAGTTGTATCAGTGTGTGCTGTAACCATGTCACTGGAGTCATCTCCTGGTAGATAGTCAAAGCTCAGTGGCCCAGTGTTTTGTAGGCAGGTTTCAGAAGCTCTGTATCTTATATTAGCCCCTAGGGACCAGCAGAATAAAAGTGCTGATTAAATGCAAATATGCTTTCTTTCTGTTTATTGGAGTTTTAAAGCCCTTCATTCCCCTCTTTTTCTATCAGGTTGTTTGATTACAGTTTTTATTTTTATTTGATTAGATTTCCATGTTTGTGATAAACCATAAATATTTTTGTGCTCTTTAAATTATAGTATATTTCTTATTATGATCCTTGTAAATGCTCAGAGATGGACTTTCTGATCTGAATTTGTGTCATTGTTCGTTATCAGAGATTCAGTTACTATCTTCATTGAGTCTGATGACCAATTATCTTTCAAGGAGGCACTTCTCTGTATTTTGCAACCCAAAAGAGATTTTTATTTGAATCTCGTGTGTGTGTGTGTGAGTGTGTGTGTGTGTGTGTGTGTGTGTTGGAACCCAGATCCTTGTGCATTCTGAGCAGGCCCTCTACCACTAAACTGCACCCCCAATTCCTTGGTCACTTTAAGTTTTGTGAATCTCAAGCAAAAATTAGCTTTCCCTCCCTCCAAAAGTGTACCTTCACCCTGCCTGCCTTATTTCCCTGTTCATCAGTGATGTTTTCCTTCTACGCAGCCAGATGGGACCAGAAATCCAGCTGTTTCCAGCCCTGCCCCTTTCCTCACTCACTTCCTATATAGAATCAGGCACCCACTCTGGGAACCAAAATTTTAAATTGAATAGCTAAATCTAAATTTTAACTATTTTAAGTCAAGCAAATCCCATATACCTTGCCAGGGATTTTTTAAAAATTCAAACACATAGATATTAAAATCCTGTTGTGTTTGAGTATTCATTTATTTTCTGCTCAGTTGTCTGGCCTAAAAACATAATGGGCCAATTCAGTCAGAGAATAATGTTAGTTTCTTTCTAGCAGGTTGAAGTCAATACTTGACTGAGAGTGTAGAGCATGTTCTTTCAGTAATATTAAACTGAGAGAGAGAGAGAGAGAGAGAGAGAGAGAGAGAGAGAGAGATCGTGCACTTTCATAGCAGATATTATACAGGTTTAATTTCAAACTGCCTGGTTAAATGTGTGGAATAATTCCATCAAGTTTAAGAAATATTTACAGGTTCCATTGTTTCCAGACCTCTTCAATCCTGCTCCATGACCCATTCCTAACAGTACATATGTCTTTTTGTTTTTAACTTTCAGATGTAACATTTATTCATGAAGGAAATAAAACATTTTTGGATAATCTCGTCAATTTTGAAAAACTGGTAGGTAGATTTTATCATTTCTCCTTTTTCCCACTGTAAACAAAGTCTATCAGCTTAATCAAATGGTTGAGTATGTTTCTCCATCAAACACATGGAGACTTCCAGGGGCTTAATTGGCTGCACTTTGTACATTGTCAATACACCATGTATTCCACTTAAAAATAAGCGTGCTAGCAAGATTTAGGGAACAAAACATGCAACTGTGTGCTTTATTTATAAAAATAACACTTCATTGGGTGAATATTAATCATTGAGTATTTATTATGGAACCAGAGTACAAATGTAAGGCCCCTGTCAGGAGGAGTTCACGCACTCAAGATTGAACTTTGCTTCTTTAGAGTGTCTCCTGATGCTTCGAGGTGCATTGCTTTAGAGGTACAAAATGAGAAAGTCTTGCTGGGCAGATGTGTCTGCCTCCCAGTACCCCAAGCTTGGATATGAACCTGGGATTTGTAGAGTCTCCATGTGAGAGGAATGACCACCCCTCATGGGCTCTGACATAGGAGCTGCCTGCTCATGAGTTGGGGGGTCTAGTCTGTTTCCCACATATGTGTTTCCCAAATGTCTCTTTTTGAATGTTCTTCTGTATTCTCCCAGGTACTTTGTCCTACAATGGGCTCCATGAGCCCTTCTGACTGACTGTAGGCAGATGAGGAGTTACCGTAAGAACAGAGGGCTATGATGTAGAGTCCTCCAGAGAGACCCACTTATACTACCAGAGGAACAGATTTGTCTGACAGATGAACTTTAGTGTCATAGATTAAATGTTCTGTCATGGTTAAAGATGATCCTGGTAACCTTCTCCAGGGATCCTGACCTTCAAGTGACCTTTTCAGTAATGGTAATGGACTTGCATGAACTCATTTAGGAACTGACCCCTGCTCCCAGTGAGACTGGGTCAGGCCTCTGAGAGAAGGTTGATTGAGGTAGGGGCCATAGACCATGACCAAAGAACAGTTCAAATTGATGTGTCCAAATACAGTTTGGCATCTGATCTTTGCCTCATAAGAGAAACTGCTTTGATCATTAGGCTGACTGGCCACACACAGGGTGAAGCTACACAGGAAGAGCTGGTAGCTCTTGTACAGCTCCACAGCTCAGACAGAGTCTGAAAGTAGACATCTTCAGACATCTTTCCATAGTGCCCTTCTAACTACTCTGAAGACAGTTGCTTCATTGACTAATTAATTTTGAAGTGGAAATGTTGATGAATTTTCAAGGTTCTCTGTATGTTCTAGAATCAGAGTTTAGTTGTTGTAGATGCTCTATCTAGTCCAACCAACCCAGACAGAAATAGATAAAGTGTTGTTATTATTTTTGTTATTTATTTATTTATTTATTTATTTTTGGCATTGTTATGTAATGTCTTGAGGATCACAGCACACCTATTAGCAACAGAGGCTAAAGTCACTAGAATTCTCTAACAGGTTAATCTCCAGCATTTGCTATTAATGAAATGATTACAGTAATATGAAGCTTTTGATCAGTACTTACTTTGCCTCCTGGTTAAGAATACCAGATGAGCTTGGTATAGCATGTGTGAAGATGTGGGATGAGATGGGTCACACCAAGTGGGATTCTCTATAAAGGTCTAGTCACTTTTTCACCCTGACCCAGACAGTACAAGTTGGAACAGCTGTGCTTTCTGTGACCTGATTGTTGCCTGTGGTTAAGTGCAAACTCATGGTTGACCTTCTCCCCACAGTGAATCAGTGATTTGGTTAAGCTTCTGTGTCATTTCCCTTAGATAGTGCCACCAAAATGAAAGAACAATTCCATAAAGGCACAAGTGAATGTCATGGAAGTATTCCTGTACCCTCACCCTTTCCTTCTCTCCACCATCAATGGTCTTTCCCTGCTATCTCAGCAATCCCTCAGAAGCCTTTTAATGCCAGCTTTCATGTGCTAGGACTCCCAACTAGCAGTGGGAACCCAAACAAAGCCTAGATAATACTGATTTCACTAACATTAGTAATGTACCCCCACATACCTTTTATTTATTTATTTTTTCTCAGTACTGGAAATTGAACCCAGGGTTGCTCTACCACTGAGCTGCATCCCCAGCCCTTATTTTTTATTTTGAGACAAAGTCTGCTAAGTTTCTGAGGCTGCCCTCAAATTTGCAATCTTCCTGCCTCAGCCTGCTGAGAAACTGAAATTACAGGCACTCACCACCATACCCGTCTCATACCCTTAATTCTTTAAGACAGTTTAAGGAAGTAGTATGGCATAAGTAATAATCTATTTTAAGTTCCAGAGAGGAGAATGAGGATATAGGTGCAGTTGTGTAAGCACACAGTAGGCCCATAGCGCACACCACTATCCAGCAGTTACTAGCACAGCATTTCTAAACAGAGAAGACTTTGTGCTATCGGTGATCTCCTGGTCCTCTTAAGACTTAAGATGGCACCTGATACTCAGCATGCTTCAGGTTGACCCAGCCTTACATGGGAAATATAGGGTGAAGTTAAAATTTTTCCAAAAGGACAAAAAAAAATCAATTTTATGTCACACATAGATCTGTGTTATACTTGAATGCTAGAGAGTGAAACTGACCTTCCTAGTAGAGAGTATTTTTAAGGAATGTTTTAGCAAAGGCCAGGGTTTCACTGAAGTTAAAACAGGATCATCTTTCACAATAATGAACCAATAGAACCTAAGTGAATTAACTTGTGAGAAGCCAATTCCTGGTGATGGATATTAACTTAAGCCAGCTAGCAGATAATTCAGTGTATTATCTTTATCTGGCTGACACAGGCCAACACATTAGATCAGACCACATGCAGATCCAGAAGTGCTCATTGGCTCTAATAAGATTTCTATTGTTCCCTGGGCTAAGTTCCTTGCTGCCTCAGCAACTCTAAATGTTTCCATCTCAAACTATCAAATGGTAAAGAAACAAAGGATTTCTCCTTCTCTTTTTATCCCTCGATATTAAGAGCATCATCTTTTAACATATTCCCTCCCTCCCCCTTCAGAGAGCCTGGAAATGAGAATCAGGACTCAGATTTCAATGCCACATGCAGTACCGGCCTTACCTCAGCTGGAGACTCGAATGAACTGCATAAATGGCACATGATAGAGATCAATGTGACGCCATAGCCTAAAACAACGAGAAAACTGTTCTGGGAATAGGAGTAAAATTTGGGGAAGGAAATTTAACAATACATTCACATAGACATGAGTCAGGTCTCATTTCCTTTGCAAATGCCGCTTGAGCTGCTGCTGTAATCACTGTCCCATTTAATTTTCCACTATTGAGTGGAAGTACATTAGCAGTACAGTTGTGAGAACAATTTAATCAGTAGGCCATATTCAAATACCATTTCTGTCATTCTGCTGGATTTTAAGTGAAAAAAATTTTTCATGGTTAACATTATTCTTCCAGCAATAATCCACTCAGAGTTTGCTATATGTGGCTGATCCTGTGTTCAGACAAAATGGGAAAGATGGTGCCCAGTCAGGGGTTCTGGAAGACCAGTTAATGAGTAATGTTGATTCTTGAAAAACAGGATCATGTTTGGATTTGGGTATGAAACAGAGTAGGGAGTTACTATATATTCTCTAGAGACACCAGAGAGCTAGACTATGATGACAACAATATCTAGAAATTATTCTGGCAGTAGAGTAGGAGGAACCATTATGGAGAATAATTTCACCCAAAATGCTATGTCTGCCATCATGGAAAACTGATACTGGTAGAGATAGCTAGGAGCCCATAGCAGGTACAAAATATAAGGAGATAGGATCTTGTCAGAAGCAGCTGCACATTTAAGAAGACTGGAGATCATGAGGACTTTTTTTTTCTTTTTTTTTATTGGTTGTTCAAAACATTACAAAGCTCTTGACATATCATATTTCATACATTAGATTCAAGTGGGTTATGAACTCCCATTTTTACCCCAAATACAGATTGCAATTAGAAAGCCAGGTGCAGTGGCGCACACCTGTAATCCCAGCAACTCAGGAAACTGAGGCAGGAGGATTGCAAGTTCAAGGCCAGCCTCATCAACTTGGCAAGGCCTTAAGCAATTTAGCAAGACCCTGTCTCAAAATAAAAAAGATATAGAATGTTGCTCAGGGGTTAAGCACCCCTAGGTTTAAGCCCTGGAACCAAAAAAAGAAAGAAATTAAAATACTGAAGATGCTAGGAGGAACTGTAAATTATGAACAGAAACTAGTCTTCACAGAGATGTTAATGTTGTAGAAAGCATTCATCATTCATAAGCACCCCACATCCTGCCACCATTTGAGCCTTTGAGCCCACAAAGCTTTCTGCCTCCCTTCAGCACTAACATGGGCATCTACATGTGTGATATGTGGCAGGTGCTCCAACAATGACAGGGACTATGCACACAGCACAAAGAACAGTGGGTGTGGTGGGAAAGGAACCTCCCAGGTCAAGAAGGGAGATCTCTGAAAGGCTTGATGGAGAGAAGGTGCCACCTCACCTGCAGAGAAAAGTCTTAAGCAAATGTGGACAGGAAGATGGGGTGGGAGGACTGGTTTCTTCACGGCATGCTTTTCCATGGCCCAGAATCCGTGCAACCCAATTTGGAAGCCTCCATTTGTGCACACAACGACTAAATATTCTTTTGTTATGCAAGCTCAATATAATCAATTGAAATTATGTTTGGCTTTAAGTATAGCTCATCTCTAAAGGTGTTAAGACTATCCATCCTTCCCAGAAAACACTGCTACTTCAGCAGCACCCTAAATAACACTTCCATTGATATATTCTTTCCTTTTTTGCTTTCTAGCACATGATTGCAGACACTGTTCGAACTCTGAGACACTGCAGGACTAACCAGTTTGGTGAGTAGTTGATGTCAGGAATGTACATAGAATACACATTAGTAGTGAATGTGGTCATATCACAAGTATTTATGGTCATTAATTTAAACAGCATGTAAAATAAATACATACACATATGTATATATGTAGCATATTTTAGATCTCACTTTGATTCCTCACTGCATATTTGGGATATAGAGAAAGACAAGATATGATAGATCATTAGTCTCTCATGAAAGCAAGTTTACCCTGTCCAGAGTGTTTTTAGACATTCAGGAGCTCTCTACCAAACCCTTGCCCCAGAAAATGTTGCATAGCTTGCCCATGGTCTCAGAATTATGGGTGAGTTTAGCAGGGCAACCCTGTCCCTGACCTTTTTTGCTTGGGGCCTTCTTGGACTAGGAATAGTTTGTAAAAGGTGCCTAAAGCAGCCTTCCAGAATTTTCTCATCTCCAACAAAAACTTCCTGTCAGGAGCAGCTTTTCAGCAGAGAAAGTATTTTTCTGAACACTTTTGTAGAATCCCCACTGAGACTATGTATGTAGGAATATTTGTCCCATTTAAAATCTCAGGCATAATTTACAGTGTGTTTAAATGGTGTTAGAACATTGCAGGAAGGAAGGAAATCTGCTTTATTGAGCTGAAGGAGCTTTCACATGGGGTAGCAGAATCCTGACACCCACTCTAGTGAATGTGCATTGTTAATCCTATAAGTACAGAGCAGAAAACTGAGGCTCAGAGACCAGCTCAGCAACCATTGTATAAACTGAGGCTGCCTGACTTCCTTGCCCATGCCCTCTGCCCTGTGAAGATTTTATAAATAAAAATGGTGATTTTTAAAAAAAAGAGTTGAATTCAGTAATTATGAATCAATCAATAGATGATTGCTAAGTAAAACTTAAATAACACATCCTCATTTAAAAAATATTTATCAATAATACAGAAGTATATGCACAATACAGACTAAAAGTCTTCCCTCTCAAAGAAAGTGCTACTGTCTGGTATGCATTCTTTAAAAAGCACTTTCTACTTTCTACACAGTGATGCTCTTGGCTGGCAATCTTGTCGTCCAGGAAAGCAAATTAGAAACTGAACTTCTGTATGGATCATGAAGTTTTTTGTTTGAAAAGGAGAATTATAAAAACAGGATTCTAATTTTCTAAATATTCACATCAACCAATACCATTTAATATGTCTTTATATGATTCTTCATTAAATATATAAGTATATGCAGCTATACTAGAAACAGTTATAAATACATTATCATGGGGATTCTTTCAAAAGTACAAGCACAGTGTCACTTCTAGTTTTTTTGTCTTTCTTTACTTTCTTTCCAGTATTTGCTGGGTATTCAGCTAATTCTAACACATCAATCTCATCCAACAAGGGATGCTAGATTATGTTTCTTCCAAGTATGAGCAAGTAGTTTATACTGACTTGGCTGGTCTTGAACCTCCCACCTAGAGGAACGTAACTCTGCAAAGCACTAGTTAAAGGAGAAATTGAACTTTGACGCCAATTTGGGTTCAAATATCGATATACCTTTAAAAATTGGGTAGGACGGAATTATCTGTGTTCATTTTAACAGTTTATATGGGCCTAATAATACTAGTGTCAATATTTGGGATAAAATAATGTTAATCAAGTCACTTAGAAATGATACAGTATCATACAGGTACCAGTTGTCATGGTTGGGGCTTACTCATACTGCCATCTTTTAAGATTTGCAAACTAACAACAAATTTTTCTTTAGAGCATGATGTTTTCCAAGCCAATTTTTACTAACCCAAAAGCAGTTTCTTAGTGTCTTCCAGAGAAGGCATTCTAGAATAATGCAGCTTTTGGTTCGTGATAAAAGCATTTCACTCCCATTTCTTGCTGAAATTAGGAAGCCTTGTTGCTTTTAAACCTTAGAGTTGGGCTGGAGTGCAGTTCAGCAGTAGAGCTTTTGCAAGGCCCTATGTTCAATCCTCAGCACCAAAAAAAAAAAAAAACCTAAAAGTTGCAAGCCACCAATAACAGACAAATCTTAAGTTATTTCCTCATAAAATGTATTTGTCATAAGAGATGTTGTGGGGCAGGTATTTTTGCCAGGAGAAAAAAGTGCTGTAATAAATGCTCAGCTTCACAGTCTCCCTCCTTCTCCAGTGAGCTCCAGAGTCACACCCTGCCTGCAGGACTCCTGCTTGCAGTTCCAGGAGGCAGGAGCATGCACTGTGACCCCATATGCACTGTCTCCAGGGCGTTGATCCCTCTCCCCACACTGCAAGTTGGTTTGTTTCTGGTTTTGTTTCTTGAGTGTGGACTGGGCTTGCTCCACTGTCCATCTCCGGTTCCTTATCAGTGTTGTCAATAGCCTTGGCACATACATGTTCACAGAATGCAGACCTTTATACAGTAACCTTCTTGTGGCCCCTTGATTCTTTGACCGTCCTGGACTCGTGGGTGGGAACTCCTGGCCTTCTCTGAGTAGACCTCAACCTGTACACACACTGTGATTGTTAGCCATACCTTCGGTTCTGTTATATCCTTTCATTCAATCTTGCACTAACTTTTTCCCAAAAAATAAGGATACCAAAGAAGTGTGCAAAATCTAAAAAAAACAAATAATAAGTTGGTGTTTTTGTGTGCTGAACAGATTATCTGACAAATCCAGACCGAGGCCAGCTATGGGTTGAAAGACTGCATAGCACAGGAGCTCAGACCATGGAGTGAGGAACCATGGGGCCTGGGATACATCCTGATCACACCACTAAATTATGTTACTGTGCTCAGTTTTCTCACTAGGGAGAGGGATGGCAGCATAACTTCTACATTGGGTATAATGTCAGGTAATGACTGCTATAAATACCGGGCCAGTCTGACAGCCCAACCTGAGGAATCCAGCCTAGGTGAAGGGGTTTCTACTGTTAGGACAAGGAGGCTGCTCCCCAGATTCTGACTAGTGAGGACCGACTAGGAAGATTTACTCTAAGTCTTCGAGTGGGGTTTAGTGGGATTTAGAAATGGCATTAAGGCTTTTGTAAGAGTGATTGTCGACTTTTCCTCTAAAATATAGGAGGTGACATGTCTCCAAAGGAGCATCAAGAGCTGAAGTCCTATGTCAACCACCTGTATGTCATCGACAGCCAGCAGGCCCTGTTCGAGCTCTCCCACAGGCTGGAGCCCCGAGCATGAGCCCGCTGCCCCGCCTTCCCCTGTGACTGCAGCACTTTGAGCCACGGGAAGGTCTCTGCCCAGCAAGCTGCTTTCCTGTGAGAAAAGAAGTCGCTGAGTTTTATCAGTAGACCACAAGAAATGCACAGGAAAGCCAGCCAGAGTGTGTTCAGGAAGTGATGTCAGCTGCCAGAGACGGAGAGGAGAGGCTCCTCCACGCTGCTATCGGAAGGAAAAGGCAGAAAGAGCCAGAAGCATTCTGGGAATGGAGCAGTCTGGTTTCTCATGATCACGTGTTGATCCAGTCCAAGTTTCAATTTGAAATGTGCCAGCATTAAGAGGAGAAAACGTGTCCTGACGTACAATGAACTAATATTTCAGTAAGAGTGTGCATACAACAGGAAGGAGTTTCCCTTTTCCTGGCATTAGATTCCTATCCATAGGCTGTTGAGGGATGGTAACACCTACAGACAGTGATGGCACCTCTAGATTTCCAGGGAGAGGGAAAGGCCTCTTTCAATACTAACTGACATCAACAAAAGCCACTGTGTCTAGGGAGACTGGAAGATTTGCTGCTTGGCAGCCCTGCCCTGCCGTGCAGAGGAGAAATGTCAAGGCATGCACTTCTTTGCATCCACAATCACTTACCAGTGTCTGCTTGCAGGTGAAATTAGTTTCTGTACAACTGATTTGCAGTATAGACAAGGTAAACTAAGTTGCTTTGCCCATAAGGAAAAATAGTAGTCTTTAAGAAATTGACTCATGGTTTAAATTCTGGGATTTTCTTTACATTTGTAAGCAGGTTTTTATTTTTTATGGGGCACAGTTTGATTTTTTAAAAAGCGTAGTGCCTGATGCACTGTAGGCACTCAGTAACAGCATATTGAAGTAACAGAATCATAAAGGTCTGCATTCTGTGCCTGGTGGAGCCTTAGTGTTTTGCATACCCCCAGGTGGGCTCCTTGCCCACAGGATGGAATGAGAACAGCCCCTGAGGGAGGTGAGGCAAGTTTGGGTGTGTGAAGCACTTAGCACCCTCTAAAAAGAACAAGATGATAGGTTACTGGGAATTACCAGTCTTTCAGCAAATGGAAAGTGCCCAGAAATATCCAAATGTCTGATTTATGCTGGAGACTTAGAAGTCTTAGTTCACCTCCCAGCCAAAGCAGGAAGCCTTGCTATATTATTTGCCTTTTTCTCCCTGTCCCCAGGAAGTTTCACAGTCATCTGAGTCCTTTTTATTATTTCTAGTTTTACAAGTTGGGCCCCTTCTAGCAAATAAGACCTCTTAGTGTTCTCAAGGACTGACTTAGAGGGGCTCCCTCAATCTTGAAATGAACAAAAAAGCCTAGGAGTGAAAATAATCCAGTCCTCCTTGCTAGCTAGTTGTTTGTCACCTTGCTAAAATGCAAGGCCCTGCTTTGTGTATTTGGTCGCTTCATTCTCAGAAGAATGTGTGAATCTTGGTGCACTTCCACTCCTGCCTGTTCATTTCCTAAGTGCCCATACAGACCTGCTTCCTTTCTGTCTCGTCAACACTCAATTCATTCTCATTACTGAGGTGTGTCCAGTGCTTCCTGACACCCTTAGAGCAGAGCTGTTCCTATGTGGGGAACATTTCTGCTAGGACTTTCAAAGAAACTCAGTCTGGCCCAGCATGTTACAATTCAGTCCTGTGAAAATTCACAGGATTCTATAGAACAACTCTGCCCAGGGCTGGTCCACTCAGAGAAATGCTCCATGCTGCTGATAATGAAATAAGACCAGAGCCATAGAATCAGGGAAAACAGCCTTTCCTGAGGGCTAATCAAGCACTCAAAAGGCTCATCCCTTGGGCTAATAGAGAATGGCATGGGCTGAAAGCACATAGTACCCATTTTTGTCTTTCTGTAAGCTAGCCACCAGAGTTTGTCCATTGCAGTTATGGTAAGCCATTTTGACATTGCCTCTGCATTTTGTAATTTAACATATTTACATTAGCTCTACATTGCACCAAGTTAGAGATTACTTTTAGACAACTAATTTTCAGCGGAGATCCATCTATTTCAGCAGAACACATGCTGCCTAGACCCCGATTCAGATAAGTACAATCAGCCAAACAAAGCCACACAGATATTATGTCTCAATACATTTTATGTGGTGCTCATTTGCCTTTTCCTCCAAAGCAAAAGGAAGGTAGGATCTTGTTTGGTTTTGATTTGCTTTTCTACCCCGATCTTCTGAACATCTAAAATCTCGAAACCTTTCTGAAATTTAACAACTGTTTCTAGAGATTTCCAAGGCAGCAACTCTGAGCATGTCCATCAGCAAACAGGCACAGAATGTAAACGCCCCCCCCCCCCCCCCCCCCGTGGATGGGGATGGCCCTGATCCCTCTCCAGACGGTCATCAAGGCCTTTTCAGAATTGCCTTCATTCGGACTAGGAGGGCGAACTGGGAGATGTCAAAGCTCTTTTCCTGCTTTCCTTTGGATTTTTATGATTGCATAAAATTTCCATCCACTCTGAAAATCTTGTGTAATCTGGCACCTTCCCCAGCGGGTGATGAATGGACATCTCTAAATGGGTTCTTTCTGTTACAGCATGACTCTCCCTCAGCTCTTGTGGGTCTTTGGATTTGTTAGCATTTAGCAAACCAACCCTGCTTGGAAGTTAGCACAGGACAGTAGACCACAGGTTTCTATAGGCAAAATAACAAGCTTTCCCACTTAAAAAAAAAAATGTACACATTTGCAGATGTTCCATAGGATACATATTTTAAATTCCCTCCCTTATGATCTGTATAATTGCCAGATGGTTGTAGTGATGCATATTATGACCTACTTTCATTTTTTCTAGCATTCTTAATTGTGTTTAGAACAAATTCATTTTCCTAGACCAGTACCAGTTGGAGGTAGGGTGGCATATACATTGAATTTAGAAGAATGAGAATAAAGTGAACATACCCACACCTCTCAGTTTGTAGGGAAAAGATGTCACTCGCCTGTGAAGTGGGAAAGAAACAGGTGCAGGGAAGAGAAGGTGCTGCTGATGACATCTGAACCTGGAGCTGGCCCTTTGCTGCAGCCCAAATCCCAGCACTGCAGTTTTGCTAGAGCCGATGTTACACACTGCAGAACCAGAACCGCCTGCTCCTACGTGGCACAGCCAGTGCAAACTTCTTAGAACCTGGGCAAGAACATCACAATTTGGAAGATCTGATCCACTGCAGTCATCCAACACAGGATTTCTTCTAAATGCTTCCAACACGTGTCCTTAAATTTCAGCCTGCTGAGTAGTGAGTGGGCCAGTTTCACTTCAGACAGAGGGGGAAAAAAAGTTTTTAAGATTTGCCAAAAAGTGAGATGAAAATGTACTACTGTATAAAGCAAAGCTGTATATACTAAACATTTTTTAGCAGAGCAATATTTATTTGCATAGCCTATTTATTGTATTCGTATGACACTGTTATTAAATACCAGGATAAAATCAATGACCAGAAGCAAGGAATCTTGCCTTTTAATGTACCATTACTGGGGACTGCTGTGACATTGTCAGCCTGCATTAACAATTAGAAGATAGAAAACCCGCCATCAGGGTGTCTACCTAACTTCTCAGGGACTACACTTGGTAGTTATCCACCATTAGAAGAGCTGGTAAATATGACACATTTGTTGAGTTACCAGAATTGCCATTAACAGTGTTTCCTTTCTCCTATTTCATGCTTTCTGCCTCTGTATATATGACTGTGTTGTGTATTTATCGAAGCTAGTAAGCAATAATTTATATGTAAAAATGGCCAAGCAATATAAGGTTAAAACTTATATAAGTAACATTACCTTATCTTGTATTTTCAAGTGTTTTTTTAACTGCTTTTCCAAATATAAGACTATGTTAAAGATACTATCCATGGCTCATCACTCCTTGCTTTTTCCATGGTGTCCCAGTGACAGGTGGTACTCGGTGTGGACCTCAGAAGTCATTTGTTCCCTGAAAGAGCTACAAGTAGATGAAGATATTCTCAACATGCCCACAGAAACCTGCTCCCTTACCCTGCTACTGGGTTATTGCAGGCAGTTCCTGAATACCATATGTTGGAAACTGCATCAGTGGTGGTGTTCTTAGATTTGGGGAATCATATAACCACTGTCTACTCCTTGCTCCATGAACAGGGCCATAAGAGAAGTGCCAAGTCCAGTGGTGATACCCTGGTCCTAGGGTAGAGGTCCTGATGACAGAGGAGCTGTGGGAAGATGGCACAGGAAAGGGGGATATTAATGATGTCTGGGGCCAGTGGATAAACTAGCTTTATCTGTACCGTGGTAGACCCCAGCAGTTTGGAATCCTCCCAGTCTTTCCCTTTAGGACATGTAGACATCTTGCCCATCAAAGTCAAGAAGTCTTTGGCATGATGTATTCCCTCCTGAGAGGGGAATCATACATCTTACCATGTTGAACTCTTGCTCTGTCCAGTGAAGAGTGGAGACAAGTGACCCATGCCACTTAGAGCAAAGTCCATGCTTGCCTTGTCTGCTTTGCTAGGAGCCCCCACGCTGTCCCAGAAAAAGGCGGTACTAATAACCTGAGTCTTGGAGCATCAGCAACATGAAGCAAAGCTCCAGCTTGGGAAGGACACGTAACTTGAGTGAGAAATAAAATGTCAGCATTTGAACCCCTGAGATTTGGCAGTGGCTCATTACTCAATAGAATTTCGCCCAGGCTGACTAATGCACTTCTTTTCCCTCAATCCATGTGTGGGCAGCAGTATTGGCTTCACTAGTGCCAGATGGATGAAGCCACCTGTTATCACATATCCATGCAAAGGGCTTATGTATATACAGGAAAAGACAAAGTGACCTGAAGACAATTTTCTTGGGCTCTTAATCTCCGGGAATTGGCATCTGTGTGAGACAGGGCAGTGGGAAGAGGGAACAGGACAGCACCTCTCCCACAGCAGCTGGGAGCAGAGAGGGGCAAGCACCAGTGGGCTCTCCTGCTCTGTCCTGGTCCCCCAATCACCCCATGCATGGCTGCTGACCCCACAGAGTTCTCCCAGAATGGAGCCAGGTGGAAAATAGGGAGAATGGGAAGCCTAGGCTTTGGCTTTGGATGAGAAGAAAAGAAGAAAGGGAAATGCCTACTGCTGAGGATGCTACCATGTTTTCTTCACAGCCAGCACTGGGGCAATGACCAGGGCACTTATGAACTCAGAAGCCTGTTCTCGTCCAAGTAGCAAACCTCAGAATGCAGCTGGTAGCCCCACCTGCGATGCGCTAGCCACAGAACCTTACTTCAAGGCACAGGCTCCGTATCAGGGCCCGTTTTGTGTCCAAGCTCTTTTGAATATCCAGTGAGCAAATTTATGTTTGCTTTTCATAAATTACTTTGAACACAGGAGATTGCTCCTGCTTTAAGCTAGCCGGTGTTCTTTAGAGAAGCATTCCTGTTACTGGAAGGTGGCACGAACCTTGTCTTACCCAAGCAGAGAACCAACAACTCCTCTCCAGAACAAGAAAGGCACCCTGATGATCAGGGTGAGCAAACCATGCAGAATCATGGGGTCCTGGGGACACGCTGGGAGCCCATCCCCAGCCAGAAGCAGAGTTGGGTCAAGTCACATCGCTTGGTGTTTTTTTTTTTTTTTTTCTGTTATGGCAACTCTGCTCAGGAGGAACTCAGCCTTCTCTTTGGCCCCACTGGGGATCCTAATTGCAATCCCTTTTCTAAGGCTCAAGGTCTTCCAGGGACTGGGGTAGTGTTCCCTTTGAGCCTTGTGAGCAGTTCTGCCCAGGTCACCTCACTCCTCTCCACAGCGGTCCCAGAGGGGGCTCTGTGGCCACCCTTCCAGCCACCTTTGAGCCCACTGCTCCCATCCCAGCCTGGAATAAAAGAGCTCAGGGTCCTCCTCACATGGGGCTTGCACATCAGGTTAAGCCAGGCAGGAGGAGCAGAGGGGCCATTTTGAACTCTCCCAGCATGCTGCCACTTACTTTCTGCTACAATCACACCAGGTTGAAAATCTTGACAGGTTTGAGAATGCTCCAGAAAGACTAGAACCAGCTCCTGTTATGGGTCCCCCAGTATCTCTGGGGGTCTCTACCATTCTCTCCCAGGTGTTCAACATGGAAGTGAAGGGTGGAGTTACAGGAGCTCCCAGCTGGACTTTTCTTCTCCAGGAAGACTCTGGAAGGCCTTGGCAGCTGGTCTGCCTGAGACCACGTCCACAGGAAGTGGTGTTGAGCTTCCTCTCCTGAAGGCCTCTTTCATGCTCACGGACATCCGCAGGTCCGTAAGCTGTCTTTGTGACTATAAACTCATTTCTAGTTAGATCCTGAGTGAAAACAATCATAGTTTGAGACAATCCCTGAAGTAGTCACCTTGTTCTTGGAGTCCTGATCCTCCCCCCCACAAAAAAAAAAGAAAGAGGAGAAGTAGGGCTGGGGTGTGGCTCAGTGGCAGAGCACTTTCCTGGCACGTCTGAAGCCCTGGGTTTGATCCCAGCACTGCAAAACTAAATAAGTAAATGTCAAAAATCTTTTTAAAATAAAAAAAGAAGAAAATAAAAAATATAAAGCAGAGAGATTGAAGTCAAAAGCATCAGCCCACATAGGAGACTCAAGGCAGTGGTAAGAACTTCCCCAAGTTCTGTAGCAATGGTGGCTCTCTGGTGTGTCAGGACTTAAAGTCCTTTTCTCAGGGACAGCCTTGGATGGTAAGTGGTGCCCCTCTCCATTCAAGTCCAAACCATGGGGTTGATCTGGACTCCTCGGCTCTCACAGCCTTTGCTCAGCAAGTTCTCCACCAGCTGCCCTTCTCCATCCCCACTCACCACACAAGTCTAGGACCTTGCTGTCCATTACTCCAGTCATTACAGTCACCTTCTATATAGTCTTCCACCCTCTAGTCTAAACTTCCCTCCATGTAATGTCTAAACTGCACCAAAGAAACTTTTGTTCTGAAATGCAGATCTCATCACGTTTCTCCCCAGTTCAAAAGCTTTCCATAGGCAGCAGAACTAAACCTTGTTTCCTCATAAACTTCTCATATTCTGGTCTCTAGCAATCAGTACCAAGGATTGAAATTTTAAGCACTGAGCCACATACCCAGCCCTTTTAAATTTTATTTTATTTTGAGACAGGATTTTGCTAAGTTGCTTAGGGCCTCACTAAGTTGCTGAGGCCTACTTTGAACTTGATATCTTCCTGCCTCAGCCTCCCAAGTTGCTGGAATTTCATGTGTGCACCAGCACTACCCGTCTTTAATGCTCCTTGAAACATTCTACACATAGAGATAAATGGATTTCTACTAATTAAAATGTCTGTTAAAAATAACATGCACCAAATATTTGGTAAATAAATAAGTGTATCTAAGACTTCCTTGCTATTTTCAAGGTGTTAAATCTTGAAGCCAAACTGCTAATGATGCAGACAGCTGTGTGTGCATAGGTATGTAGGTGTGTTGACCTAACAGACGTCTGAAATCGCCTTAAGGACAATGAGCTCTTTCCCATCAGAGATGTGCAAACAGACTTGAAGCCAACCACCACGGATGGTTTCAAAGGCAATTCAGGCATTAGCTAAGGGCTGTGCCCTGCAACCTTTATATAAAACCTCACAGCCCACAGCAGTTAAGCTGGCATGGATCTGTGTTGCTAGACTGAATTCATTTTCTAGCTATTTTTTTTAAGTGTCTTAACTTTAAAAATGATGTAGGAAATTACTGTTCATGTGTCTTTGTATTCCTTTGACCTGGGCTGGGCCTCAGAAGGGGGCTGGAAGGGAAAAGGCTGTGGGAGGAGGCCGGAAAGGAACACCTCATGCCTTCCATGTCCTGCGTCCAGTGCTGACTCTGCGTTCTTTCTAGGGACACATGCCTCCAATAAACACAAGAGAGCCCCCTGGAACCAACCCCTGGTCTGCTTTCCAGGACCAAGCCGGCTACAGCTTCTCAGGTGGTCCTGGATCTGCATAGCTCCTCCTGGCTGTGTTTCTTCCAGGCTACTGCCCTTGAAACCAGCCTTAAGAAAGTCCCAACTTTCCACACCAATTTTACACTGCTGTGAGAAAGGAATTTTTGTATCTAAAAAGTACTCAGCACAGCACACAATACACATTTGTTACTTAATTAATATTTGTTGACTGAGGCCTTTGCTGTTGTCATGACCGTGACACATTAGCAACATCTGGTGGACAAGTAGGGATCTTGCACAGAATTTAAGTCAGAATCATGGTTCTTTTTTTTTTTTAATATTCTTTAGTTGTCGATGGACTTTTATTATTATTATTTATTTATATATGGTGCTGAGAATTTAACCCAGTGCCTCACACATTCTAGGCAAGCGCTCTTCCACTGAGCTACAACCCCAGCCCAGAATCATGGTTCTTGGAGGGCTTGATTAAAACACAACACAATGGGGTACTGTTGAAAGCTTGGGTCAGCACCACGAGGCAATGGCTTTGCAGCTCTGCATTACTGGTTTGTGAGCCAGTGGATATTTGTTCTCTGTTTTTGCAATGTAATGCAGCCTCTCTCTCTCTCTCTCTCTCTCTCTCTCTCTCTCTCTCTCTCTCTCTCTCTCTCTCTCTCCAAATATCAAGGAGATGGGAAAGGAACCAAACTAGAGAATATTGAGGCTCACCTGGGTCAGGCACTGTGATCTGTTGTTTCCTAAGGAGCTGAAGAAGGTGAAGGTCTGGGGTAGTATGTATCAGGTACATGTAGGTGTTTGTGTGGTCAATGGAAGAGTCATGGGTACTGTCACAGACCTGAGTGAAGGACAACCCAGAGATGCTGCAGCAGGAAAGTTGATTGCATTATCACCACACAAGGCCATCTCTACCTGATGAGCTGCAAGCTCCCGTGAGTGTGGAGATCACCAATGATGGGCCTGACTAGGGTGAGGA